TAAACTTAAAAATGGATGTTACCACAGTTAGTAGTTTATTAGACATTTCTTCTGATAAGGTTTACATTTTGCAAAGTTAAATAATCTGCTGTGATTATTAGTTTCAGTAAATGCCCAGAGGGTAGTTTTAGTTCCAAAAGATAATTAATGTTCAATTATGCTTGAGAATAATCATAGACGTTAGCAAAGAACTAGAATTAAGAAGTGTTTAAAAGTATCTGAGATCTTGCTTCCCGCCATATGCAGTTTGACTCAAACTTATAAAAAAAATTTTAATGTATCAGGAATAGATCTATATTTATTCATTGTTATACTTGTTTTACTCTTCCCCCAATAACCAGTCTAATTTTGCTAATCTAATTATCTTCCTTTTTTACAAAATAAAAATAGGGAGTTGACAATTTAAAATTTTTTCTTCCTTTCCCTCCACAGCATCTTTTCATATCTTGGTAAAATTAAAATGACTCAGCAAAAGAATAAAATTTCAAGTGCATGACAATTTTATTTTCTCTCTTTTCCTCTCCCATCACCATTTATCCCTTCATACCCTCTTCCACCTTAACCCATCTCCTGCCCCTGGCAGTCACCACACTGTTGTCCAGATCCATGAGTTCTTTCTCTGGTTTTTCTTTTTTTGCTCAATTCCTCCACCACCACCCTCTCAAAACCCCTCTATTAGAGCTGTTTGTCTATTCTCTATGAGTCTGTCTCTATTTTGCTTGGTAGTTTAGTTCATTAAATTTTACATATGAGTGACAAAAAATTCTACATATGAGTGAAGTAATATGGTACTTGTCTTTCTCTGATTGACTTATTTTACTGAGCATAATGTTCTCCAGGTCCATTTATGCTGTTGCAAAGGGTTAAATTTTCTTCCTTTTTACGGCTGAGTAGTATTCCATTGTGTAAATGTACTATACCTGTTTACTCATTTACTGGTGGACTCTTGGGTTGCTTCCAAGTCTTGGCTATTGTAAATAATGCTGCAGTGAACATAGGGGTGTACATATTCTTTCAAATTAGTGTTCCGGGTTTCTTCAGATAAATTCCCAGAAGTGGAATGGCTGAGTCATAAGGCAGTTCTGTTTTTAATTTTAAAAAAATACATATTTTATTGATTTTTTTACAGAGAGGAAGGGAGAGGGATAGTCAGAAACATCCATGAGAGAGAAACATCGATCAGCTGCCTCCTGCACACTCCCTACTGGGGGTGTGCCTGCAACCAAGGTACATGCCCTTGACCCTATTGAACCTGGGACCCTTCAGTCCGCAGGCCGACGCTCTATCCATTGAGCCAAACTGGTCAGGGCCTGTTTTTAAGTTTTTGCGGCAACTCCATACTACTTTCAATAGTGGCTGCACCAGTCTACATTCCCACCAACTGTGCACAAGGATTCCCTTCACATCCTTGCCAACACTTGTTTACTGATTTATTGATGATAGCCATTCTGACAGGTGTGAGGTGATAATGATTAGTGACATTGAGTTTCATTTTTTTAAATATATATTTATTAATTTCTGAAAGGGTGAGAGACATAGAAACATCAATGATGAAAAAGAATCATTGATAGGCTGCCTCCTGCATGCCCCCCCCCCACCCCAGTGGGGAGCAACCAGGGCATGTTCCCTTGACTGGAATCGAACCTGGGACCCTTCATTCTGCAAGCCCACGCTCTGTCCACTGAGCCAAACCAGCTAGGGTCCATTGAGCATCTTTTCATGTCTGTTGCCCATTTTTTCATTGTTTTTTTGTTTGTTTTTCTTTTTGTTTTTTGGTGTTGAGTTTTATAAGTTCTTTATAAATTTTGGATATTAACCCCTTATGAGATGTATTGGTGAACATGCTCTCCCATTCCGTGAGTTGTCTATTCATTTTGTTGATGGTTTTCTTTGCTGTGCAAAAACGTTTTAATTTCATGACAAATTTTTATGACTAGCAGTAGATATATCAGAAAGGTGAATATTAAAAATTATCCTCAATTTTTTCTTGTAAGGATTTTTTAAATTACAAAAATAATATAACTACATTATAGAAATTTTGAAAAAACAATTATTCCTTCACACTAACACATAAATTGGTCATATGTTGGTATATTTCCAACCATTTTAAAAAATCTTTGCATTAGTATAACTTGTGATTCCTGTTAAAAACAGAATTCTACACTTTTACCAACTCAGATGGGTTGCACATTGAAGTTTGAGAACTAAGAACAAAAATAATTTTTAAGGGCCCCTGTCATTTATAATTATATAGCATTACTTTTAGTAGATAGATATTAGCAAGTTTATGTATGCTTTTAAAACTATGTGTATGGATATAATGGACTTTAAATGGAGGTATTTTTGATTGGTTAATGATAGACTTGAGAATCTGATGTCAGACAAACTTCAAAGCAGTATTAAGAATTTTTTAAAATTGAAATCAAGCTTTGGTTTTCAAGTAGAGCCCTGTAAGCATGTTTATATTTATTATAATATAGAGACGTAGTTTTTACTGAGATGCATAAATGAAATCATGTACATGATATAAAGCCTCTTTTTTCTTATCTCTATTCCTCCACTGATAGAACTCTGCCCATCAACTACATTAACAACTTTGTGTATGTTCCTTATTTTCTCCATGCTCATAAAATCATACAAACATACATGTATACAAATAAGATTATTTATTATTATTTTTAATCCTCACTCAAGGATATGTTTCCATTGATTTTAGAGAGGCAGAGATGAATATGTATATGAGAGAGAAACATTGATCAGTTGCCTCCTGCACATGTCCAACCAGAGATGGAGCCTGCAACCTGGGTATGCACCCTGATCAGAAATGGAACCCGTGACACTTTGGTGCATGGGACAAAGCTCCATCCAACTGAGCCACACTGGCCAGTGCAAGATTTATTTTTTGAGCATTGTTTTACAAAAATGTAATGTATTATACACATTTTAATCTTTTTTTTATTCAATAAAATCTTGTGAAAATTCCCTCAAACTACCTGCTACCAGTCCTAATTTATTTCATATGGGTATATAATATTCCATTATATGAATGCACCACAATTAATTGAACTATTTTTCTATTGATGAGCATTTACTTTGTTAACTGTTTTTGTTTTTCCCATTTTGTAAGTTTGCATGTGTTGCCATATTATCTTTTTTTTAATTTTTTTATTTTTATTTTTTTAAGTTTTATTGCTTAAAGTATTACAAAGGGTATTACATATGTGTCCTTCCCCCCCCCCCCCCCCGCCCTTGACAATCCCCCGTCCTCCCCTACCCCCCAGTGTCTTATGTCCATTGGTTATGCTTATATGCATGCATACAAGTCCTTCGGTTGATCTCTTACCCCACTCCCTCCTGCCCCCCAACCCTTTCCAACCATTTTCATTTTCTCTCCTGGAAATCACCTATTCATATTCTTTGCCAATTTTCCCAGTAGTTTTGGTTTCCCTAACCTATTGTAAGAACTGTATATAATCTGTCATTGCCTTTGGAAGCTAATGACTTCAACTCATCTTACCTCACTGCCATTCTCAGCCTATTTACCTCTACTGAGCAGAGCAGCTGGATTCAAGGAAACCTCAGGTTTTGTGGCTGTCTCAAAGAAGAGGGCTGGTGGAGAGCCTAGGGCAAGGTATTAGAAACTGACCCATAGAAACACTTGGAAGTCCTGGACTTTCTACCCCAGAGGAATATGGACATCAGGCGGGCTGAGCCCTCCCTACTCTTGAGCAAAGACTTCTTTCTGGATCTTTGTCAGAGGACTACCAACAGCCTATTTCCTGTCTACACCTGCTACATAGCTGTCATGGTAGGGAAGGGATCAGTTACTATCCTAAGACTGCCAACACAGCGTCAGGGAACAGACAGAAAAAATAATTGCAGTTAATGATGCAGCAACTGTCAGGATAGGCCCCAACAAAAGAGCTGCTGAAGGGGAGAGACAATAACTTGAACAAAATAATATGAATGCAATGAGATTGAAAGGACAGTATTAAAATCTGGAGCCAAAAATCAACAAATTCTTTTACACCTAGATCAAAGAAAGGGTAAAAATAAGCAATTTTGAAGGTAGAATAAGGAGGCATAATGTGTATAATAGGAGTTCTAAAGGGAAAAGGAACAGAAGGAAGAGAGACAATTTTAAAAAGAAGAAAATTCCCAAGCTGAAAAAGAGACCGTCAGAGTTCTCACCTGCAATATCTTAAGCCAGAAAACTGGGAAAGTTGGTATATATACTGCTGAGAGAAGGATCACAAGCCAAGATTTCTCTAACCAACCCAATTATTCACTTAGAGTAAAACAAAGACTTGCTGATAAATCATAATTGAGCAACTAATCCTACCTACCATCTGATGAAAACACTTGGAAAAGAAAAGGAAATCTAATTATATTTAACCTTGGTCTTTGCCTGGAATAACTCCTCCCTTTATTCACCAGTGTAACGCATCATTCTTAATGTCTTAACTTTTTAGGAGATCTTGTGCAACTCCCCAAGTCTGAGTCTTGTGCTCCTCCTAAATGCACCTAGCACCCTGTACTTCCCCCAGTTTGGCATTTATTCCCATAAAATCGTCAGCTCTATCAGAACATGGGCAGACTGTGCAGGTTGTGTTCACTGTAGCCCCAGTGCCTGGAAAATAGTAGTTTGCCTGAGTGACTAAAATTTAGTCAAAATGAGCAAAAAAAAAAATTTCTGTTCTACTCTGCTTTGTATGTCTGTATTCATCTTGTTGACTATTTTACAAAATTTTAAATTCACAAAATTTCAACATAAATGAGTACAAGAAAATATTCATATAGGATGAATTTGTATACGGCATATATTTATAATGCATATATCCATAATTGGGTTCAAACTTCTATTATTTATTTTAGAAAGGCAGGATTAACAGGAAAGTATAGAGATGAATTTGCAAGATTAGTTTTTTAAAAATGAGAGGTAGTGTTTTAATACTTTAAGAAGAGTGATGTTAATCTGATATTTTTCTGTTTCTCTTCAGATTAAAGCTAAAAATTATGACAAGGTTGAAAAGGTGAGTTCTGTTAAAGATACTTTGACTTTTATGCTGAAGCTTAACTGAGGACTTACCATATTAGGAAAATATAGTAAAGTGTTAACAATTATTAAATCTAGGTAGTGATTATATAGTTCATTGTACTTATTCAGCACTTTTGTATGTTTGATAGTGTTTATAATTAAAAAATAAGAAGTAGGTAGGAGTTGTTTTTGCCATTTGCTTTGTTAAGAAGATAGATTCGTGAAAGGAGCTAAGTTTGTTTTGTAAAGTTCCATTTTACCCACGCACCTGTGAAATTTACCCATGGATTCTGATAATGTTTTCTTGTATTTATAGTTATTTCAGAGATGCCTTATGAAGGTTTTGCACATTGATTTATGGAAGTGTTATCTTTCATATGTCCGAGAAACCAAGGGCAAACTACCAAGTTACAAGTAAGTTAAATCAGGGTCTTAAGAATGCAAGTGATCCCAGGCACACAGTCAGTCCCACAGTAACTCACCTTCTCTTAACGCCAGGGAAAGAGACAGGCTTGTTGTCAAAACTTAATAAAGAGCATTTTATCACTTGTCATGGCACCACTTTTGGTAGGTGGCAATGCAATGTGCTACTTAAGTATTCCAAGGCACGTTTGACAGTTCTATTGTGTAGTTTCCCTGCTCTGACTCTCGCCCACCCATCTAACTTCACTGAGTCTAAGTAATGGACCTTCCCAAATGTTAAAACACACATCTCAGTTTTATCTATAACTAGAATTCTATCTTCCTTTCCTCATTATCCTTTATTGTCTTATATTGAAGAGGAAGTTCTTTTACTCTAAATTTTACTTCAGAGCTAATAGATCTTCATATGTCACTTACCTGCTTACACCAGGTATTTCCACATTTTACTTTGCTACATATAAGATTAAACAATTTAAAGGATATAAAAATAAATAAAACCTGGGCCTGATCATTGATAAGCTCACAAGCAGAAGGTAAAAGAAACAAGTGACATTGGCAAGCTAACCAAAAGAAGCACTTTGTGTACTTGTAAGGATACCTTTACATTTTTGTTTATATATACAAAAAGTTCAAATGCTGTTCTGATACTGTGATCAGCAGTTATGATTGTGTTTTAGTTGTAGATACATTTTTAAAAATATGTATTTTTATTGATTTCAGAGAAGAAGAGAGGGGGATAGAAACATCAATGATAAGAGAGACTCATCCATTGGCTGCCTCCTGAATGCCCACACTGGGGATTGGGCCCATAACCTGGGCATGTGCTATGGACCAGAATCAAACCTGGGATCTTTCAGTCCACAGGCCGATGCTCTATCCACTGAGCCAAACCGGCTAGGATTAAAACAAACTTTTAAAATAAATAAATAGAATTTTTTTTTAAAAAAACATGTCTTTCACATTTATTTCAGAGAAAAAATGGCTCAAGCATATGATTTTGCATTGGATAAAATTGGGATGGAAATTATGTCTTATCAGGTAGAGTTAAAATATTTTCAATATATACACTATAAATTTAAAAATATCAAGAAAGATACTAACGTTTTATTTTATTTCTTAGATTTGGGTGGATTACATCAATTTCTTAAAAGGCGTGTAAGTATTTTTATGGATGTTTTTCAGTGTGCACATTTGATTTAGGTATAATATGATTGATGGCATTTCTTACCCAACACCAGGGAAGCTGTTGGATCTTATGCAGAAAATCAGCGAATAACAGCTGTCCGAAGGGTTTATCAACGAGGTTGTGTTAATCCAATGATCAACATTGAACAGCTCTGGAGGGACTATAACAAGTATGAAGAGGTAAACTAGGCCAGAGTAGTTATTATAACCACACCATTTTAATTTTAATTTTAATTTTAATTTTAATGCATTGTGGGCCTGTGGATTCTAGCCTCTCTGATATTAGGTACCCCCATATCAGTGCTGCGCATGTCTGTTTTTATGTTGATTGTAATGAAAGAACCACTTCTGACGTTTTTGCAAGGTTTTGAGAAAGTCATTATTTTTTAGAGACTACTCTGGGAAAATCAAAATTCTAACAAAACCCATTTTTATTCATTGTTAAACTATACCCACACATTGATCCCTTATGAAATGGTACCTTTTTAGAATTGTTTTTCCAATGGTAGTAATCATTGCAATACACCTCTTTTACCTAGTTGTAGATATGATTGTTGGCTTGCATTTGTGAAATGTGGAGCTACCATCCAAGATTTTTGGCTTATTGGCATATGCTTTAATCATCTGAGCTAATAAGTAAACATGCATGCCAAGTAAGCTTCATCATTAAAAGAAAGTTCCTCACATGTCCACTGTGATTTGGAAGAACTATGTAGAGTATTAAAATTGTTCCCTCATACATATGAACAGTAGCTCTCTTAACTTTTTATTTTTGGGGTTTTAAAAAGTATTGAAGACTACAAAGAACTTTTCATTTTAATATGGGTTTTATATATCATATTTTGCATATTAACATTAAAACTGAGAAATTTTAAGATACTTTTTAATCATTTAAATTTTACAATAATAAACTCTTTACATTTTAACATAAATAGTATTGTAACAAACTGTAATTTCCAAAACAAGAAAAAATTTAATAAGATTGGCATTGTTTTGTATTTTTTTAAATTTCTTTAATATTGAGTTTAATAGAAAATAGCTAGATTATATCTGCTTCTAAATTCAATCTTTTATAATAGTGAATGTCACATAGTCTCTGAAAAGCTCCACTGTATATTTGTAAGAGAGGCAAATGATGTCTAGTATTATATGAAAATTGTTTTGATCTTATGGACCTCACTGAAAGGGTCTTGGAAATCAGAGTTTCTTGGTCTGCTCTCTGAGATCTGCTGGTCATGAACGATAATGTTTATGTCTACTTCTACCATTGCATTTCTTTTTCTTTCTTTTTGTCCTGCAGTAATTTTGCAAGTTATGCAAACTTAGAAAAGTACTTTTCAGGATTAATCCACAGCTATTCTGTCAGATGAATCTGTACATCATTCTTTATTAAAATTTTATATGAAATAGAATTTATATCCTTTCGAAATCATTCCGTAACTTTAGAAATTCCTGATCTATGGAAATTTTTTGCCAGTTTATATCAGACTTTAGCACATCTTCCTTGATCTCTGAAGCATATAATGTGATTGAACCTTTATTTTATTAACAAAAAAAATCTTTTAAAATAAGAAATTTAAAGTAATTTAGTACATGAATAAATTTAACTATATTGTGCTAATATGAAAGTATAGTTAATTTAAAACTAACATGTTTTCTTTTGTTTTTTTCTTAGGGTATCAATATTCATTTAGCTAAAAAAATGATTGAAGATCGGAGTAGAGATTACATGAATGCTAGGCGTGTAGCAAAGGTATGAAATTCTGTCAGGCCACTTATTTTAATGATTGTTATGAGTTTGTTTACACAAGAGCTTTTCCTGTATGGTATTTTTCTTAATATTTTCAATCATTAGAAATCTTAATGATGATTAGTTGCATTGTCTGAGCAGATGATATATTTGAAATGAAATACCTCTTTTTTTAAAAAATAATTCTTTATTATTGAAAGTATTACATATGTCTTCTTCTTTCCCCCATTGACCTCTTCTAGCCTGCCACTGCAAATGAAATACCTCTTTACAGACATGTTAAAGGGCAAAAGAGAATAAGTTGAGTTTGGAAGAAAAATTTTAAATATTGAAAATGGTCGTAGAGACAAGGTTCCAGCTATAATTGATGAAGTTCTTATCCTCCCCTCCTATTTGCTCATGCATATCTGAATACTATATTACTCTGTTGTCTATTAACAGCTCTCAGAGACAGACTTTTGTCTTGGGAACATAGCTTTTCACTAATTGACACGGTGAGAAGTTAGGGAAAATAGCCTAGTGATACAGGTTTAAAGAGACACAGTTTCTCCAGAGATGGCAGTAATGATGCCCCGGGTCATCAGTCATGCTCTGTGCTGGAGAGTGGCCTCCTGGATTAGCCCACAGACCAGGGGGGTTCTTGTCAGCCCGTCCTGATAACCTGTGCTTGGGTAGGTAACTTGCCGTAATCTTTCTCCCTGATTTTCAATATTTAGATTATATTAAAGTGGTATTTGGAAGAAATGGCATTTTAGCAAATTATTCCAAACTGATCATTTTGTATATCTGAGTTGTTCCTATGCTCACCACAGAATGCTAAATGCTTGTTGTCTAGGAATACGAGACAGTAATGAAAGGTTTGGACCGCAATGCTCCCTCAGTGCCTCCTCAGAATACTCCTCAAGAAGCTCAGCAGGTAGATATGTGGAAGAAATACATACAGTGGGAAAAGAGCAACCCTCTTCGTACAGAAGATCAGACCCTTATAACAAAAAGAGGTAATGAGATTAACCCTTCTGGGATTCCAGTTACATGCATGTTACACCACTTGATATTATCTCATAGGATACTGAGGTTTTGTTTTTGTTTGTTTTTTTAAATATATTTTTATTGATTTCAAAGAGGAAGGGAGAGGGAGGGAGAGATAGAAACATCAATGATGAGAGGAAATCATTGATTGGCTGCCTTGGACCAAGCCCGCAAACCAGGCATGTGCCCTTGACTGGAATCGAACCTGGGACCCTTCGATTCGCAGGCCAATGCTCTATCCACTGAACCAAACCGGCTAGGGCAAGGGACATAATGGAAAGTACAATGTGTTTACCCAGTCCATGAAACTTGATGGGACTCAATTCCAAACTTGGTCTCCAATACAGTGGGCAGCTTCAGCGATATCTATTCAGCTCTTTCAACCTTCCAGCTTTGCTTTCTACTTACTACATTTTATAGTTGCTCTCTTAGTGTATTCTCTCCTATGCATGTCCATTTGGGGTATCAGCTAAATATTTGGGGGCATGTTTGCCCAGATTTTCAGGCCCCACCTTCGATGGCTCTCTTTTGGGGAATTTCCTCCTTAATTTTCAGCTGTTTTCATAGCTCAGAATTACATCTTACTTATCTCAAGCCAGTAAGTCTTCAGCATTTGACTTGAGTCCTAGCTATCCCAGAACTATACACACAAGGGTATGCCCTTGAGGGGAAAAGCCATATTAAATATGGATCTCCCCAGTGTAGCTCTGATTTTTTAAGGGCTCAGTCTTCTCTGGTTTCTGTTCTTTTGGTCATTCTCCAGTGCCTTTAAATAGTTGCTTTTGTATTTTTCAGTTTATGAATTTCATTTTTGGGAGAGTTGATCTGATACAAACTCCTCTGCCACTGCCAGAACCAGAATTTGGAACTTTAAAAAAATTTCTCAATCTTGCCTTGCTTTCCCACCTATAGGCCTTTGCAAATACTGGTTTTTGTTTTAGTTTTTTGCCTACACCATTTTTGTGTCTACTCCTGACATTCCTGCACTCCACTTACTGTCTCATCTGACCAGCTTCTATCCCTTCTTCAGGTTTCGCTTTAGATGTCAGTTCCTTAGTGAAGCCTTTCTTGAGTCCCTAAACTATGTTAAGTCCTGCTGCTGTAAGTTTCAAGAGTACCCTGTACTTACCTAATCACAATACTTATTACATTTTGAGTATAGGAAGTCTTAGATTCACTGGTGTATTCATGGTGTTTTTTATATTCCTAGCATATAGTTGGTGTTCAATAAATATTAATAAATGATAGATAGGGCTTGGGAGGATGATGGTGCCAGAAATCACTAAAACTTTTTATTTCCAATTACCATACATTATTGAGTGCATTGATGTAGCCTAATCATTTAATTATGATGCTTGTATTGATAGTTTTGTAAATAATATTTATCTTAATTGAATGTTGTGACTGTCTTTCCTTAGTTATGTTTGCCTATGAACAGTGTCTGCTTGTGCTGGGCCATCACCCTGATATTTGGTATGAAGCCGCCCAGTATCTTGAGCAGTCAAGTAAACTGCTAGCAGAGAAGGGGGTGAGTATTCCTTTTGGTCCCTTCCTGTCTTTCCATGGTTTTGGCATAGTAATAATTTGCTAAATATAGCACGGAGCCCTGGCCACTGCCGCTCAGTGATTAGAACATCACCTCACACACTGGAGGGTCTTGGGTTTGACTCCTGGTCAAGGGCACATACCTGGGATGCAGGTTTGATCCCTGGCCTTGGTCAGAGTGCATGCAGGAGGCAACTGGCAACCAATTGATGTTTCGCTCTCTCTCCCGCCCCTCCCTCCTTCTGCTCTTTCTAAAAGTCATTGGAAAAAATATCCTCGGGAGAGGACTAACAAAATTTTGGTAATAAAGAATAAGTGTTGAAAACTTTAATTTATGTCAAAATGAATCTTAGGGACACTCTTACATAATTAGACTTCCTTAGTCAGAATTAAAACATAGTAGCTATTTTTCAAGGTATTACAGTGATAAATCATTGACAGTATTTTATGATTCTTCTGTTAAAATAATGAGATGAGTCTTTGAAATATTCTTAAAATCCAGAAATGCATATGTGTCTATATGTGTGTGTGTGTGTATGTATTTTATTCTCTTTCAGCTATATTAACATTATTATAGTGAGCTTTTCTTTTGTTTTTCCTCTTAGGATATGAATAATGCCAAACTATTTAGTGATGAAGCTGCTAATATATATGAAAGAGCCATAAGCACTTTATTAAAGAAGAATATGCTTCTGTATTTTGCATATGCAGATTATGAAGAGGTGAGTAAAAAATATTTAGAACTTTCTTATAATTGGATTTTTTACTGCAGGACTGAATTTTTTTCTGGCTGCCTCTTTGCCTAAAATATTATTTTTGGTAGACAAAGATGATATGAAATGAACATTTATTAGTCCTCAGCTCATTACATATTCATGCTCAAAGCAGGTGCCATTGTGGGGTGCAGCCTCTGGATTCCTCAGAGCTCTGATGTGCTTGTTTAGAGTATATATTCATATCCACTTCTTCTCTACCACCTTAGAGTCGCATGAAGTACGAGAAAGTTCACAGTATATATAATAGACTTTTGGCAATTGAGGACATTGATCCCACATTGGTGAGTACATTACAAATCTCTTTCCCATCTTTGCAGTCTGCTTTAACAAACAAAAATTTATGTACATACAACAAAACTCACTGTTTTTATTGTTCAGTTCTATGAATCTTGACCAATAACAGTGAATATTGGGACCATCATGATGATGAATTATGGGAATCATCATCCAGTGACATTTGTTCATCATAATTAAATATAAAACACTTCAGTGGCTCCCAAACATTCTCACGTGACCCAATTGTAGTCAACCCTTCTTTTTCCCCAATCTCTGGCAGTTACTGATCTGTTCTCTACTCAGTCTTCTTTTTTTTTAATGCAGCAATATGGCATAGCTGCTGTGGCACTTTCTCCGACACCTTCATTGTGATCGTGGTTGGAGCCATTTATGCCACATAACTGTAGCATAAAAAATATTTATTTTTAAATAAATGGAGGCAGGAGAAACAAGCATCCTGAGAAGAGATTGGACAGAAACTCACTTTGACCTGAATACTGCTCTGTAATAATGGTTTTCCAAGTCCTGAGTTTTGTAAAAGTACCATGGGTGTGAGATCCAGAAAACGTAATGAGGATGAAGATTCACCGAAGAAGCTCTATCTCTTGGTCACCTATGTACCTGTCACCACTTTCAAAAATCTGCAAATACTTAATGTCGATGAAAACTAACTGCTCATTGTTTACTAAAGTTATAAAACTGCCTCCTCCCCCACAAAAAGTGAAATTAAACATATATTTTAAGTGTGCTTGAATTATATAAAAACTTGAGTTTTCTATGTGGTATTCATTAATGGAGTGTTTTCTAGTAGTTTCACTTTTATTAATAGGGAAATTAACAAATTCCTTAATTACTAATTTCACGATCTGAAATTACATAGTGGTAATAAGTGCACAATCTTGTAAAAAAAAGAAACTCATTGAATTGAATTAATTACACACTTAAAGGGTGAATTTTGTGGTATGTGAATTATATCTCAATTTTAAAAAAATAATGTGCATGCATCTTTAATACCGGAACGAATTTGCTCATGGATTTAAATAGTGCAATGTCTATAATCTTACTTTCTGATTTCTTGGTTATTCAAGATTTATTTCTTATACAGAAAATATATTAATATTAAAGTAACATAAGCCAGTTTCGAACACTACACGGATCACATTCTGCCTTATTTATAGAACACAAATACTTGGTTTTACATAGGTATATATCCAGTATATGAAATTTGCAAGAAGAGCAGAAGGTATCAAATCTGGAAGGATGATATTTAAAAAAGCAAGAGAAGATACCAGAACCCGCCATCATGTCTACGTTACTGCAGCACTCATGGAGTATTACTGTAGTAAAGTAAGCACTGAAATAAAATACAACGATGAAATAATTTCTTTCCTCTGAGATACTTAATTGAAAGAAAGGTAGTTCTAGTTCCTGCCATTAGGCTTTAATTACTCTTGTCATAAAGGAAGTCTTTTAAAAATATATATATTTTTATTGATTTTAGACAGGAAGGGAGAGGAAAAGAGAGAGATAGAAACATCAATGATGAGAGAGAATCATTGATTGGCTGCTTCCTGCACGCTCCCTACAGGGGATCGAGCCTGCAACCCAGGCATGTGCCCTTGACTAGAATCAAACCTGGGACCCTTCAGTCCGCAGGCTAACGCTCTGTCCACTGAGTGAAACCAGCTAGGGCAGTGGTCGGCAAACTCATTAGTCAACAGAGCCAAATATCAACAGTACAACGTCTGAAATGTCTTTTGAGAGCCAAATTTTTTAAACTTAAACTATATAGGTAGGTACATTGTTATTAACTTAATTAGGGTCCTCCTAAGCTGGCCTTTGCTAAAAACGTCCTCAATCTGATTGAGGTACTTTCACTGAGGTGGACCCCTTCCAACTCTCCCATCCACACTTGTCTTGTATACTTGTTTTGTCTATCTTTTGTCACCCGCGCGCGATTTGTGGACGTGACTAGCACTAACCACTGCACAATGGGACTGCTGACTGACTGGCTCACTCAACTCGGGCATGAATCGCACGCGCCTCCCCGCGCTGCGTATCCCGCGGTCCGCCTGAGCCGTGTCTCCTGTCCACCGACCGACACCCCCCACTTCTTCTAACGCCACTTCTTCAAAATAGACTCGCCCAGGCCGAAAACCGACTTCTGCACATGGGCCACGAAGTTTCAATCGCACTGTACGTGCGTGCCCGCACGTGGTATTTTGTGGAAGAGCCACACTCAAGGGGCCAAAGAGCTGCATGTGGCTTGCGAGCCACGGTTTGCCAACCACTGAGCTAGGGCATAAAGGAAGTCTTAAGTGCATCTGTGCAATTACATGGAGCATCATCCCAAACCCTCACCGCCTGCTCATTTCTACCTTATTAAACTCCATATTTCTGAATCTAAACCCCCTTGAGTGGTTTTTAGCACAGTAATTTTTACTTAATATGGTATTAATTTTCATTTTATTGCTCTTTTTTAAAAATATATTTTTATTGATTTAGAAGAGGGAGAGTGATAGAAACATCAATGATGAGAATTATTGACCGGCTGCCTCCTGCAAGCCCCCTACTGGGGATCGAGCACCCAACCTGGGCATGTGCCCTGACCAGGAATCGAACTGTGACCTCTTGATTCAACGGGCAGGGTTCCATTTTAATTCTTAATGTAACTTGCCACATTTAGGTACTGTAGTTTTAATATCCTTTTGAGTATCTTGTCTGACACTTCATGGAAATCAGTACTTTCCTCTCTCTATTTCTAGGACAAATCTGTTGCCTTTAAGATTTTTGAGCTGGGGCTAAAGAAGTATGGAGACATTCCAGAATATGTTCTGGCCTATATTGACTATCTTTCTCACCTCAATGGTAAGTAGATCTATAATGATTACATAATATTAAGCCATCAATGTTATTCTCTGAAATTATGTTGTTGGATTTTTTCCTTCTCAATGTATTATAATCATGTTATCACACCAGAATCAGGCACTTGATAGTCACTCAGGAAATATTTGTGGCCTGTCAACCAAGAATTTATATTTATTGAGAAATGGTGGGTGCCTTTTGACTCTGCAGAATCATCTTCAGTGCATCATCAGTAAATTCCCATCAATAGTAGGATAAAGCTGTATATTTAGAGTTGGAGACAGAGTTGTCCATGCTCATCTCTGATGACTCTGGGTAAATTGTCTCTTGTGTGGGGAAAGGGGTAAGGGGTGATAGGACAGGACAGACAAAAAACTATAGCCAACAAAACTCAAAGGTGCCCAAGCAGTAAAGTAAGATGCTTTGAGGCTACTGGGGAACCAACTTCAAAACCAAACATTATGTTTATTTAGCATCTTTATTTTATTTCCCTGTTCTATTATAATAATAATGGCCATCCATTGCTGAGTTCTTACCTTATACCAGGCACTAAGCTAGGGTATTCATATATACTGTACATGTATATCTCATTTAGTCCAGTTACCCACAGCCCAGGATAGGTTTTGACCAAAAAATGGTATCATAAAAGTTGATTTAAGAAAGAAATATACAAGTATATGCCATGTGAATGATTATAGAATTAGATATCACAGGTATTGACCAATGATTTTAATCATAGTTTCAGGAAATATATAACATTCTGTATACCTAAATAGTAGAAAAGAATACAACTTATATATGATTTTGTATTTCAGCTTAGTGATTCTACACTCTGGAAAAGGACTTAACTTCAAAAAGTGAGACAGTGGAGCATTTAATTAAATTTTTTTTCTTGTATGAAATTAATGTTCCTCACTAATTTTTAACTATTTTGCTTGATTTTTTTTTAGAATAGTTACTAGTATGTGTAATATTTGCTATTCTAAAATTGAGGACGATATCTGCTGTAGGCATTTTTGTCTTCCAGCCTCAGTGTTTTAGATAGTCTGCCATTCATTTATCCATCCACTCATCTATCCATCATTTATTTATTCAGTACCTTCTGGTTCCTAGGGCCTGGGAATAGCAAGGTGAATAGGACTCCATTCTTTCCCTGAGAGCATTCTCATGGGGGAATCATATGTATAAACATAATTGCATCATTATTTGGTCCTTAATTAAAGCATGAGTTCTGGGATTAGGTGTATGAACTTGTTTCAGATTTCTCACCTGCAGAACAGTCATAGTAAATACCTTTCATATGATAAGTTGAGAGGATTATATGAAGTTTTGACTTTTATATGGATGTAGTAAGCATGCTATATATAAATGTTAACTACTTAGGATATGGTGGCAATCATGAAAAAATGTGCTAAATTCTGTAATAGAGCCCCGGGTGAAGTACTTTGGAGGCATAGAGAGGAGACTATAATTTAAGTTCTAGAGCTATGCTGTGCTATTATGGTAGCCATTAGACTACTTAGTTTTGAACACTTGCTATGCAGCCAGGCCAAAATGAAATGTGGTGCAATCAGATTTCAAAGAGTTAGTATGAAAACAAAAAAAAGGTAAATAAAATATCCTAATTTTTCACATTGGTTGCATGTTAAAATGATAATAATTTAGATATATTGGGTTAAATAAAATATATTAAAGTAAATCCCACCATTTTTACTCTTTATTTTTTTATTTTATTGATTTTCCGAGAGAGAGGAGAGGGAGAGATAGAAACCTTGATAAGAGAAAAACATCCATCGGCTGCCGCCTGCATGCTTCCTACTGGGGATCGTGCCCTTAGCCCAGGCAGGTGCCCGGAGCCAGCAACCTCTTGGTGCATGGGATGACACTCAGCCAACCAAGCCACACTGGTGGCATATTTTTACTCTTTTAAATGTGGCTAGCAAAAAATTTAAATTTTCTATTTGGCTTGCATCATACTTCTGTTGGGCAATGCTTTCTAGAGGGTGTCATAACGAAGGGGACACAAGATGGGTCGTGAAGGATAAGCTGTAGTTAGCCAGGTAAAGAGAGGAAATGTGCTATTCCAGGCAGAGAACAATATGACAAGCAGTGGAAAGTTATATGGAATGGCAAAATGTGTGCCTAAAGCAAAGCGTGGAACACAGCAAGAAGAATAAAATGCAGGATTTACTTGCCACTCTTTAAAGTACAGTAGAGCTCAGGCTGCCCTGGCAGGCACCTGCCACCCTGGGCACGAGAAAGGGATGTGGGCCGCACCCCCCCCCCCCCGCCGCCCCCCCTCCCCCAACTGGCCCAGGGAGCACAATGCGAAGAGACAAACTTTTGGGGAGCTTGGGAGCCGAGACCAGTGTGAGACTTTCTTTTCAATTTGGGGCAAAAGAGAGAGAACCTAGAGCGGGCATGTTCTCCTCATTCTTAATTCATTTTCCATTTGCATATTTGTCTACCGGTCTAGATATTATTGTACCTATATAGGAATTTAAACCTAAATACCTATATTTAGAGCAGTCCTGGTGTTGCAAAATAAGAAACTCAACTATATCTCAATTTGAGTTTGCCATCCTTCCCACTCATTGTATTTAAAAATATCTACAGACTGACACTTCTAATGTCAGCAGATATGTAATTTTCATTATTTTTAAAGGCAAATGATGCCAAGCTTAGACCTGGTGATAGTTTTACATTACAACTGCAAGGCGGGCTGAACTACAGGTAAAAAGACTTGGTTTCAAGTTATAGCTCGGTTACTCAATAACAGTGAACCAGATCAACTACCTTAGTTTTGTGAACCTCAAGTTCCCTCATCTATAAAAATTGGTTGTGATAATAGTTAATGCATGTGCAAATACACTGCTGAATTGTGAAACTCAATATTTTTAATATTTAAAAACTCTTTTATCCTAGAGGACAATAATACCCGAGTTTTGTTTGAACGCGTTTTAACGTCTGGAAGCCTTCCTCCGGAAAAGTCAGGGTAAGCCATCGTGAAAACTTGCTGGTCAGGTCCTAATGTGGCTTGAATACTTGAATTGTGAGCTATGGAATGAACATTTGCTTGTTGAGTATAAATTTCAGGAGAAATTTCCCATCTCTCTTGAAGGTTAACTTACAAATGCCTACCCTCAATATTTTCATATCTGTTTAAGATAATTTTTTTAAAAATTTTTGTTTTGTTTTTAAAGATACATTTTTAGTGTTTCATACTGATCAGAATTGTTTTGAGAGAAGCCTTAGCAATTTATTATTGACTATTTTAATATATTTTTCTAGTTTACTATATCCTTAGAAATTGATCTGAACAAATAAGAGACGTGTTCTGAAATTTTACCTCCCTTGAGAGCAAAGATTCTTATAGATTGAAAGTTTGTTTGACACATTATATTCCTGATTTATGGTTTTACCTCTATCAGTTTTACCAAACAAAGGAACAACATGAAGTAGTCATATAGTGGAAATAGTAAGGCTTGAAGTCTTGGGTTCAAATTCCAGCTTAGCTAACTACACCCTGGGCAGATTTCATAACCTTGCCAATCCTTACTTTCCCATCGAGTAACAATAATCTCTACCAGTGTTGGATTTTTGTGATAGTTTTATACCTGGTATGTAATAGGTATTCAGTATATTACTTTAGTACAGTGGCGCTTAATGACACTTAGAGCCTCAGAGAATTAATTTTGGCTGTTAGAATAGTAGTGAGGCATAAATTGATCCTCAGTGATCCATACTAATGGGAAAAATAGAGAGCTTTTTTATATTTTTATTCATAAAATTGAATGAAGAATGTATTCTATGTTGTAATTCATGCCACTCGACAAAAAGTGAAGCCACATTATTCAGGAGAAATTGGAAATCTATCCAGATTCTTTTTTTAGCTCTTCCACCTGGAGTTTACCTTTTCCAGGGTAAATATCTGTCTTATTGACCACAAAGAATAGGAAGGTATGCTAAATAAAAAATCACAACAGAGCTTAAATATAAAAGTATTTAGGGTGAAATATTATGATGTCTATAATTTACTTTCAAATACTTAAATAAAAACAAGATAAAGCAAATATGGCAAAATATTAGTAATGATTAAATCTAGGTAATTAGGTAATGATATATTTGTTGCACTATTCTATTTTTCTATAGTTTGGAAGTCTTTATAATAAAAAAAGAGACATAATTTTTAAAAGGGAGGGGGAAATATAAGGCTTTTTTTTAAAATAAATGGATTTCCTGCCCCAAACCCAGAACAATTAAGTATTGATTATATTTATTTTCTTACAGAGAAATCTGGGCCCGATTTCTAGCTTTTGAAAGTAATATTGGTGATCTAGCTAGTATACTCAAAGTGGAGAAAAGACGGTTTACAGCATTCAAGGAAGAGTATGAAGGCAAAGAAACAGCTTTACTGGTAGATAGATACAAGTTCATGGATTTATATCCTTGCTCTGCAAGTGAACTAAAAGCACTTGGTTATAAGGTATGTACTTAGGGGCAAGATGTGTGTAGTGTCCTTACTTTTCTGAAGTTTTAGAACACTTCATGGATAAACTTCACTCTAAATTCTGAAGTAGAAAATAATCTAGTTTTAGAATAGATTTGCAGAAAACAAAAAAGTTCAGGGAATTTTCTTGGTTTTATGAAACACTGAATATCAAATGTACTGCCCTGGCCAGATGGCTTAGTTGGTTGGAGTGTCATCTTGTACACCAAAAGGTGGTGGGTTCAATTCCCAGTCAGGGCGCATTCGGGAGGCAACCCATTGATATTTCTTTCTCTCTCTCTTCCTTTTTCTCTTTCTAAAAATCAGTAAACATATCCTCGGGTGAGGATTTTATAAAAAAAAAGTACTGAACAAAATGAAATTTAACAAATACAACAAAATGAAAATTTTTTTTAAATGTATTTTATTGATTTTTTACAGAGAGAAAGGGAGAGAGATAGAGAGAAACATCGATGAGAGAGAAACATCGATCAGCTGCCTCCTGCACATCTCCCTCTGGGGATGTGCCCGCAACCCAGGTACATGCCCTTGACCGGAATCGAACCTGGGACCTTTCAGTCCGCAAGCCAACGCTCTATCCACTGAGCCAAACCGGTTTCGGCAACAAAATGAAATTTAACAAATACTTTCATTCCCTGAAATTGTCAGTGCCCTAATGTCTGATGGGCAGATAGATGGAGGTGTTGGGTGGGAAGAAAAACAAAAGAAAATATGACTGTCATCTTAGGTATTATATATTTTCCTCAATAGTTCTTAAAACGCAATGTATTTGGATAGATCTTAAACCAAATGTAGCTCCTGGTACATATTTGTAGGTATAATGAAGAAATGTTACAGTTTGTTAAGTAAATTTCCTTGAGGGATCTATATCTTTGAAACATCAATCCTTCCACAGGGCCCTTGAGGAAATTAGCTTATCTAGGAAAGGAACTCCTCTGTGTAGACCACTGAGTCATAAGAAAACAAATCTGGCTACCTGAACCTGTTCCGACCAGGAGGAAAAGTTAATGCTTACACGGCCCCAGAAATAGCCCTTGCTGAGAAAACCGTTGTTGTATTATTTCTTGATTTTTCTTGGTCATGTTAGCAAAGACCAAGGTGGAAATTCAAAGGGAAGAGTCCTAGATTGGTCCCCTTAATCCAGCCAGCATTAGGGTATTCCTGACCATCATTCTCCATTTCCTCGCTGCCCTCTTTTGGCCTGGGTCTCACTGGTCTGCTGTCCAAACCAGGTTGAAATATTTGAGAAAAATTACTCATAATTAAACTTCAGACTTTTTATGAATGGATGTTCCAGTTCTGTGCCAGTCCCAAGCTCCTTTTCTGAACTAAGGGGTTACTGCCCAGGGCTGAGCAGGTTCTCCTTCTAGTTTAACTATTTCTCAATGAAAAGCCAAAGATTACCACATGATCTCACTCATTTATGGATAATAAAGACCATTATAAACTGATGAACAAAAATAGATACAGAGGCAGAGCAGCATCGAATAGACTGTCAAACTACAGCGGGCAGGCTGGGGAGGGTTGGGGGCGGGGCGGGGGGGAGGGGGGTAAGAGACCAACCGAAGGACTTGTATGCATGCATATAAGCAAACCAATGGACACAAGATACTGGGGGGTAGGGGAGGCCGGGGGAATGTCAAGGGGGGAAAAAAAAGGAGACATATGTAATACTCTTTGTAATACTTTAAGCAATAAAACAAAATTTTAAAAAAAAAAGAAAAGCCAAAGATATTTTAGACTGTGTGACTTTATTAGAAAAAGTCTCAACTTTGCAAAGATGAAAATGGAAATTCTGGAAGTTAATGAAAATAAAGAGCTATCTCCAAGTAGAACGTCTTGAATATGAATTTTCCATCTTATATTGCTCTTTCTACTCTTTTATTTGGAAAGATTCATGTGTTTCTGTGTGTGTAGCATGTTAGAGAGGGAATGTGAGAAAAGAGTAATTCCCAGTGGGCCTACTCATTTAGATTTGCCTCCAGCTGCATGTGAGCAGAATTTGAGGTGGAAGCTTGTATATCCCTTGATGGTGGCAAAAGAACTCTTGATTCCAGACAGGTAGAGCGACACAGGTTGCCTGTAGCAGAGGCACTTCTCTGGGGTGGGGTATCTGCTAATGGGAGGCTTCCTTCGGAGAGTTGTTCTCGGCCCTGGTGGGGCACTGCCACATACTAAAGTGAAGACGGTGATGGGTTTGAGGTCAGAGAGGCCGGTGCTCCTAATCCTCTCTACTTGGCTGTATGACCTTGGAAATACCACAGCCTCTTTGAGTTTTCAGTCACTTCACTAAAATGGAGATGTTACTATTTGCCTCATTAAAAAAGTAATAAGAGGCCAGAATTATCTGACAAATAATGGCTGCTCAGTAAGTGTTCCTTCTTCCTGTAATTGTATGTTGGGAATATTTTATTTCATTAACAAATTCTTCTTAATCTTAACTAGTGTAAGCAATGATAAACTTTATTTTAGCTTTCATGAAGCAGGACCTCACTTAATCTAGCTTCTTCATTTAAATGGATGTTGTTCAATTCCAGTGGAAGAGAGGTGTCAGAATTGCAGATTTTCTTCCAAATTACCCTAGTGTACTTGGTGCCCAGTCTTACGTATTTACCCACAAAAGATTGTGTCTATCTAACAAATGTCCTAAATGATTTTTCCCCACCCCTAAATGATTCTTAACAAGTTGGGTAAGGTTAAAAAACACCAAATCTTTAGAGCCTCTTAGCTTTCCTTGTTGAGTATTTACAATCTTTACCATCAGCAAGTTCTTGCTTATTCCTCTCCATTCTCTCTTTCTGTGGTTTTTACCCAATTATTCAGTGTATCCTCAAGATTGTAGAATTGCACAATTATACTCTATAAGTCCCTTTTTCAGGTTTAGGATTCTTCTGTTCTGCATTTTCAGGATGTCTCCCGTGCTAAGCTAGCAGCTATAATTCCAGACCCAGTTGTAGCTCCTTCTATAGTGCCTGTTCTGAAAGATGAAGTGGATAGAAAACCAGAATACCCTAAACCAGATACTCAGCAGATGATTCCATTTCAGCCACGACATTTAGCACGTAAGCCATAACTTTAGATCCAGTACTGATTTAAATCCAGAGGTGTGGGGGGGCAAGAAATGTGACCTTTCCATTGTAGGTTCACTATTAGACTAGGGTCACTATGACAGTGACTAGACCAGGGGTGGGCAAACTTTTTGACTTGAGGGCCACAATGGGTTCTTAAACTGGACCGGAGGGCCGGAACAAAAGCATGGATGGAGTGTTTGTGTGAACTAATATAAATTCAAAGTAAACATCATTACATAAAAGGGTACGGTCTTTTTTTTTTTTTTTTTTTTTTTTTAGTTTTATTCATTTCAAACGGGCCGGATCCAGCCCGCAGGCTGTAGTTTGCCCACGGCTGGACTAGACTGTAATCTTTGACCTATGTTAAGAATGTCTTTAAAACAAAAAAACTCAATAACCCAGATTCCAGTGACCCATTTTGGCAGTGATACTTAGACAGCTTTCAGAAATGCTGCTACATACAGATTATCTGTACAGCTGGAAACTTACTTCAGTCATGTTGTTTGGTATTATTTATACTTACTAATGGACAGTAGTCCCTCTAGATCCTATTTGAACCAGCCCCTTATGATTAAATATGTTGTTGAATACCTAACTGACTTTAAACAGGATTGCTAACAAATGGCTTTGTGAGGCTTAGAAATGGTCTTTGACAATGGACTTCAGTTCAGACCCTGGGTTGTCTTATGCAAAGTCATCTAAGTTTACTCTCTGCCATGGGGTCGAGACGGCTTTCACTATCTCACCCTCTTGAGTTTGTTCAAATGTGTAAAGCCCTGAACACAACTTTAAAATGTCCAGAAAAAAGCAACATAGACATAGAACATCTTTATGTACAAATTACTTATTTTAGCTCTTAAATGTACAGAATTCTTCCATCGTCTGATTCTTGCTTTTCTCTCTTATAGCTCCAGGTTTACACCCTGTGCCCGGTGGAGTATTCCCAGTACCACCTGCAGCTGTTGTTTTAATGAAACTTCTCCCTCCTCCGATCTGTTTCCAGGTTAGTTCACAGTTTTCTTGATAGATACTTGCTCTGTGAGTTAGAGTAACTGCGTACTTTTCCTCTTGTATTATGGGAAATATAAAGTAGTGCTTTTTTAACTTGTCAGATTTGGGGGATTAAAATTTGTGTCAACCTCACTAATCACCAGAGAAATGCAAATTAAAACCACAATGAGATATCACCACACACCTGTCAGAATGGCTATCATCAATGAATGAACAGACAAGTGTTGGTGAGAATGTGGAGAAAAGGGAACCCTTGTACACTGTTGGTAGAAATGCAGACTGATACAGCCATTGTGGAAAATAGTATGGAGGTTCTCCAAAAAATTAAAAATAGAACTACCGTATGATCCAGCAATTTTACTTCTGGATATTTATCCAAAGAAATCCAAAACACTAATTTGAAAAGATATATGCATTCCTATGTTCACTGCAGCATTATTTACAATAACCAAGATAAGGACACAACCTAAGTGTCCAGTTGGATAGTAGACAATTGTATAAAGATGTAGTACAGCCCTAACCGGATTGGCTCAGTGGATAGAGCGTCGGCCTGCAGACTGAAGGGTCCCAGGTTCGATTCCGGTCAAGGGCATGTACCTTGGTTGTGGGCACATCCCCAGTAGGGGGTGTGCAGGAGGCAGCTGATCGATGCTTCTCTCTCATTGATGTTTCTAACTCTTTATCCCTCTCCCTTCCTCTCTGTGAAAAATCAATAAATTATATTTTTAAAAAAAAGATGTAGTACATATATACAGTGCAATATCATTCGGTCATAAAAAAAGAATGAAATAATACCCATTTGCAAGAACATGGATGGACCTAGAGCAGCCGTGGGCAAACTACGGCCCGCGGGCCGGATTCGGCCCGTTTGAAATGAATAAAACTAAAAAAAAAAAAAAAGACCGTACCCTTTTATGTAATGATGTTTACTTTGAATTTATATTAGTTCACACAAACACTCCATCCATGCTTTTGTTCCGGCCCTCCGGTCCAGTTTAAGAACCCATTGTGGCCTTCGAGTCAAAAAGTTTGCCCACCCCTGACCTAGAGGGTATTATGCTAAGTGAAATAAGTCAGACAGAGAAAGATAAATAAGATATGATTTCACTTATTTGTGGAATCTAAAAAACAAAATAAATAAAATAAAATAGATTCATTGATACATAGAATAAACTGATGGTCGCCAAATGGGAGGGGGGTTGGAAGACTGGATGAAAAAGGTGAAGGGATTAAGAAGTATAAGTTGGCCCTAGCTGGTTTGGCTCACTGGATGGAGTGTCAGCCTGCGGACTGAAGGGTCCTAGGTTCGATTCCGGTCAAGGGCATGTACCTTGGTTGTGGGCACATGCCCGGTGGGGGGTGTGCAGGAGGCAGCTGATCTGATCGATGCTTCTCTCTCATTGATGTTTCTAACTCTCTATCCCTCTCCCTTGCTCTCTGTAAAAAATCAATAAAATATATAAGAAAAAAAAAAGAAGTATAAGTTGGCAGTTATGAAATAATCACGTGAATATAAACTACAGCATAGAGAATATAGTCAATAATATTTTATGCCCTAACCGGTTTGGCTCGGTGGATAGAGCGTCGGCCTGGAGACTGAAAGGTCCCAGGTTCGATTCCGGTCAAGGGCATGTACCTTGGTTGCAGGCACATCCCCAGTAGGGGGTGTGCAGGAGGCAGCTGATCGATGTTTCTCTCTCATTGATGTTTCTAACTCTCTATCCCTCTCCCTTCCTCTCTGTAAAAAATCAATAAAATATAAATAATAATAATAATAATAATAATAATATTTTAACTATGGCCCTGGCCAGGTAGCTCAGTTGGTTAGTGGGTCATCCCAGTGTGCCAAGGTTGCAGGTTTGATCCCTGGTCAGGGCACACAGAATGAATGCATAAATGGACCAAGAAATCAATGTTTCTCTCTCTCTCTCTCAAATCAATCAATAAAACTTGTTTATAAAATCTGGGAATTAAAAAATATTTTTTTTAACCATGTATGGTGCCTGGTGGGTACTAGATTTATCAGGGGTTCACCTCATAAATTACATAAATGTCTAACCACAATGCTCTACACCTGAAACTACTATAATATTGAATGTCAACTGTAATTTTAAAAATATTTTTAATAAAAAGTTTAAGAATAAATAAAATTTATTTATATCAAAATAGGGTCCTTTTGTACAAGTGGATGAACTGATGGAAATTTTCCGAAGATGCAAGATACCCAATAGTAAGTCATGAAAACTCCACTTCTTAGAGTGGAATTCACATTGTTGTCTCCTATGCAGGAGAGATTGTTAATCTTTGCCACTTAAGTTTCCAAAACCAGCTAGCCATCTCATAGAAGTACAAAGAAACAGAGTGACCCTTGGCACAGAGACTTCTTCATATTCTAGTTTCACTAAGTAACATGTCATAAAAGCTTATCTTTTCTATTCATGTGAACAGGCACTATTAGACTTCGCCTATGAAAAGTTTTATTGAAGTTAGCAGCTTTTGTCTTTTCCCTTAATTATTGTTAGTAGTACTATACCAGGCTTTGCTAATAGTAGGCTATGAAATTAACTACAAAGTAGCCAAAGTAGTACATACTCATACCAGTGTGATCTTCAACATCTTCCAAAAGCCCTTTTTGTTTTATTTCAACAGCTGTTGAGGAAGCTGTGAGGCTCATTACTGGCGGAGCCCCAGAGCTCGCTGTGGAAGGCAATGGCCCGGTGGAAAGTAATGCAGTACTCACCAAGGCCGTCAAAAGGCCCAACGAGGATTCAGATGACGACGAGGAAAAGGGAGCTGTCGTCCCTCCTGTTCATGACATTTATAGAGCACGGCAGCAGAAGCGAATTCGGTGAAACGGGCTCAAAACCTGCCTCTAGAAGAAAACTTTTATCCGGGATTCCCTTTTTGCCTCCTACGTCATATGTTTAAGAGACAATGCTTTGTTACAAGGTTCTTGGAAACAAAGTTGTATTGTCATTGGTGCCTCTATCATATGGTTCTTGAGAAAGAAAACCAACCAACCTGTGTGAATTTTACAATATGGAACTGAGAACAGTGCAAAATGGCAGAACCACATTTTGTTCCCTCTTCAAGGGTGTCTTGTATGTGCCACTTGAAGATTTTGTGAGTTTTCAATAGTTTTATTTTAAAACTGGATGGCTTATGATTGTAAAGCTTTTATCACATTTTTCTGAAAACAGTTGTTCTCAGTTTGCTTATGTAGAGTCCTGCCTTATTGTTTGTTTTATTTATGGCAGAATGTATGGAATCTGTTTTGTAGTTTAAAATTTTAAAACAATCCTTTAAAAAATAAAAGGATCTAAAAAAAAAATAAGTCTTGTCTCCTTCTGCTGCTTTCATTCAGAATTTGTTTAAAATAGCTCCTTAGGTTATTTAGCCAATACCATCAACATTACAAGGAAGGGTCATACGTTATTTACTGTGTGTATACTTAACTGCATGTCCTCCCTAATCTTTTTTGGTACTAACTGAAAACATGAGGGATCCATTTTTTCAATATGTATTTTTATTGATTTCATAGAGCAAGGGAGAGAGAGACAGAAACATCAGTGATGAGAGAGAATCATTGGTCAGCTGCCTCCTGCATACCCCCGACTGGGGATCAAGCCCACAACCTGGACATGTGCCCTTGACTGGAATTGAACACGGGACCCTTCAGTCTGCAGGCCAATGCTCTAGCCACTGAGCCAAACCTGCTAGGGCCCTTAGTGATAAGAGATTCCAGGAAAAAAATTGGCTCACTTACCTTCATAGAGCAACAACAAAACAATTCAATGTGAATATTGTGCTTCTGAACTTTACCTCCTTCACTCTTGGCTTTTGCCACTTGCGGAAGGAACTCCATCAGTGGAAGGAGGTGGTGGGGGGGGGGGGTCATGAGAGTCTGTGAGGCATTACAATTTCAAACAAACTTAACTTAGTCAATTTAGGAACTCATGAGGGAAAAAATAATACTGTAAGAGTTAATTCTTACAAAAGAAGGCAAAAGAATTCTTGAGATTTAGGAAGACTAACTATAGGAAGTGTATTTGGGGGTAAAGCTCCTCTCCTTCACCCTTGGAGAGGGAGGGAGAAAAGCCCCAATACTCTGGGCTGAGGTAGGCAAAGGAGTGCTGCCCCTGGGTGCTCCGGCTTGGAGCTACTATCATATAGCACAGCGGCCACAGAGCAACCTTAACCATAGGACCAATCCCAGAAGTGACCTCACTGAACACACTAGAAAAATTGAATTTTGATTTTTTTAGTTCTACTTACTTAACTTTTATCACTTTCCAATAAAACTAGGGAAGATTTGTCCTTTAGTCTTTAATAATATGACTTCTGGCCACAGAATACAGCATGCATCTCTGACTACAACAAAAAATACATAAACGTGTAGCATGTACTTGGAGAAATTGCATTCTTCCCAATATAATCAACCCTTCCCTCCTCTGAAGCCTGGTTTACGTCTACGGGTTCAGTGTTCATCTGGCTGCTTCCAACTCCGTCCCTCCAGCCTACCCTTTTTTGCTTTGTTTCAAGGTATCTTTTAATTTCTTCCTTGACCTATTGTTAATCCATTCCTCGTTTAGTAACATGTTATTTAGCCTCCATGTCTCTGTGTGTTTTTCAGGTTGTTTTTTGTGTATGATTGATTTCTAGTTTCATACCACTATGGTCAGAGAAGATGGTTGATATTTCAATCGTCTTAATTTTATTGAGACGTTTTGTGTCCCAACATATGATCTATCCTAGGAAATGTTCCATATGCACTTGAATGTATATTCTGCTGCTTTGAAGTGAAATGCTCTAAAGATATCAATTAAATCCATCTGATCTAGTGTGTCATTTAAGGCTGCTGTTCTCTTATTGATTTTGATGTCAATGGGGGTGTTAAAACCCCCTACTATGACTGTATTACTGTTAATCCCTCCCTTTAGGTCCATCAAGATGTTCTTGACATATTCAGGTGCTCCTATATTGGGTGCATAAATGTTTATCAGGGTTACATGCTCTTGTTGGATTGCTCCTTTTTTTTATTATTATTATGTAGTGTACTTCTTTGTTTCTTACAGCCTTTGTTTTAATGTCTGTTTTGTCAAAAATAAGTATGGCTGCCCCAGCTTTTTCTTTCATTTCCATTTGCATGAAATATAGTTTTCCATCCTTTACTTTTAGTCTCTGTGTCTCATGTTCCGAGGTGGGCCTCTTCCAGACATTGTATATATGGGTCTTGTTTTCTTATCCATTCAGCTACCTCATGTCTTTTGATTGAAGTATTTAAGCCATTTACATTTAAAGTAATTATTGATAGGTATGTATTTATTGTCACTTTATTTTTTAAACTATATTCCTCTCTCCTCTTCCTCTTATTCTTCTTAAAGTAGGCCTTTTAAGATTTCTTGGATCTTTAAGAGGGTGCCTGTGGCCCTACCATGTAGCTCAGTTGGCTAGAGCATTGTCCTGATATGCCAATGTTGCAGGTTTGCTTCTGGGTCAGGGAACATACAAGAAGCAACTAATGAATGCATAACTAAGTGGAACAACAAATCGATATTTCTCTCAAATCAGTAAATAAAAATTAATTAAAAATAAATAAGTTGGTGCTTGGTCTTCAGTGGACGTTCGTCTTTCCCTGGCAGACACAAACCTCACTGCTTTTCACAGCCAGATGTTATATGAGTTCCTATTCCAGGCCTAGTGCTCTAGGCTTAGAACCCCCCACAGCTGAGATATACTTCTGGGACCCCAGCAGCTGTCCGCTGGAGTGGGGCCAATGCTTTCGGATCTCCGCCTTTCCTACTAGTTTCAAAGTGGCTTCTGTAAATCCTTGGTTATAAGACTTCTCCTCAGTTAGTCTTCAGTTGTTTATTCGGGATGATTGTTCTATGTTTCAGTTGTAATTCGTTTGGTCCTTGGAAGAGGTGACTGTAGCTTCCACCTATTCCACCACCACTTTGGATCTCTGTCCTCATTGCCTTTACTAAAGGGATTCCTTGCATTATTTCATCCCTTGCTGTTCTGACAGCTAGAGGCCACTCCAATAACTTCATGGCTCTGCTAATACAATGTCTCTGTCTAAAATACACATGCACATTTTATATTTTTTAATAGAGCAGGTAGTCTATGAGACCAAAACTCCTCTTTCAGTTACAAGATATGTTGGTAATTCTGGTCACTGAAGTTCCTCAAAAAATAGTGCTCAACACCCAGGGATTTTTCTATGACTTTCTTATCAAAGAAATAGTGAGTTCACACTATTTTATCTGAAATTCTAATCCAATCAATACAACAGTTAATTGTATGACAGTGAATTTTTCAGTGAAAACGCCAGACATTTATCTCTTTTTATATTACTATATTTTAAATATATATAATTTCCTCCTCAACTCTCCAAAGTTTAAGAGTCAAAGAACTTCCTCTCTGTAGATCCCATAAATCATGTAACTGCTATCATTCAGGCTCAGGAATAATCTATAATAATAAAAGGGTAATATGCTAATTAGACCAGACAGCTGGACATCCTTCCAGATGAAGCCAGGGCTGCGAGGGCCGAGCCCCTTGCACGATTTTCATGCATCGGGCCTCTAGTTCTGTATAAAAGAATAAAGTATTTAAAATCAATTAACTCTCCTCTAGAACAAACGGGTTCTGGGGCTCTGGCTGAAACAGGCAGGGGAAAAGCAATAAATAGGGTCAATGTCAGGGTAGGGGATGGAGGTGAACAATAAGACTATAGCCCTTTTATTTTTATTTTTTAATGTATTCTTATTGATTTCAGAGAGGAGAGGGGAGAGAGACAGAAACATCAATGATGAGAGAGAATCATTGATTGGCTGCCTCCTGCACGCATGCCCCACACTGGGGATCAAGCCCACAACCTGGGCATGTGCCCCAACCAGGAATCGAACCATGATCTCCTGGTTCATAGGTCAATGCTCAACCACTGAGCCACACCAGCTGGGCTTATCTATGGCCTTTTAACACAAAATACCTGGAAGGAGAAGGGGTTCGAGGCTGTGCCAGAGGGGCAAAAGTCTAGACAAGGTCATGGCTTATGCTCTTTCATTATTGGGTGTCTGAAAGAAAAATTACCCGGTAACAGAAGAGAAGTCCCAGCTTTCTGGGAGAGACAGCTACAGTCTTGAGAGAGTGGGGGTGGAGACACATGGCAGTCAACCATTCCAAAGTTGAGTGCTTCCTGTGAAACTCAAGATAACAAATGCTTTCTTGATTTATAAACTTGCACTTATACATACAAACCCTCAAAATAGAATTCAGTGCATTTTTCAACAAGTCTTTTCTTTCTTTTTCTTTTTTTTCAACAAGTCTTTTCAATAGTGATACACAATAAATATATTCTTCCTTTTGGAATCAATGCTATTAAATAGAAATGTACTAAAGAGCCATTTTCCAAAGCAACATTAGAGTTGAGAACAGGCAATCTGAGCAGAGTAGATAATATTGCTGCTATTGGGAGCACACGTGTTAGGATCTAACAAGGATCTTACTGAGGACTGCATCATAGTAGGGACTGAAGACCATCTTGTTATAGTTGACCAGACGAACAAATTTAATAGCAACTTCCTCCAGCTCTTTGTGGACTGGACCCAATCCCCCAGGTATTGTGGGCAATGCCTTCTCATGGCCTGAGGCAAGGTAGGTTTCTAAGAAGGTCAGGATTCGGGAATCTGTGATAGAAAAGAATGCAATTAGTTGTTTCTTGTCCAGGGTGACTTTATAAACATGATTATGCTTCCATTTTTAACTTAAACATCACCTTTTTAGGAAAGTCTTTCCTGACCACCTCCCAGATCAGGTACCCAGAGCCCCTTGCACTCTGAAGAGCCATCACATTTGCATTGTTTCCTCTCCCCCTCTAGGTGGTTAGTTTCATGAAGGTAGGACTCATGCTTATTGTGTTCTTCTCTCCCCAGCATCCAGCATAGTCCCTGGCATGAAACCTGGCCCCTATAAAAGCTCAAAATACATTTGGAAAGCAAGAACAAATGTATGGATAAATACTGGGAAACCAGAGCATTAGCAGGCTCTGCTCTCAGAGGAGCAAGTCATACTGCGACCAACATGAGCCATGGTTGAAGATCACATAAAAAAAGTGGGAGGAAAAATAAAGCAGGAATCACAAGTTCAAAAGCAAAAAGAAGATTCCAGCACTGATGGCTTGTGATCTGTCTTTTCCCACTAAGTCCGTATGAAAGAAGCATGAACTTCCTTCTTCAATGCCTACCATGGGAGGCCATGGAGTTGGTGGCATTTGTGAAGTTGTCCTACTCTGAGGAATAATTTAGGTTGATGCTTTTTTAGCCCATTCCCTTCTACAATGCTTCTGCACTTTCCTGTGTGTCCTCATTAGCCGAAAAATTGTGAGTATAAGCCATATTTCTTACAGATTTTATTACAAAAGCAATAGAAACATTTATATTGAATGGGCTTTTCCACACTACTTGCCCACACCCTGCCCTGGGGAACCCTCTCAGGAATAAATGACTCACACCCTTCAGAACCCAAAAACGCAGAGAAACTGCTAACTGATCACCAAAGTTAGTTTGGTTTTCCAAGGTTCCCAGAGCTGGAAGCCTCACCCAGAAGTGGAGATCCTTGTGTCATTCCTTTGTGAGGGCAGGTTTCTATCTCCATGTCTATAACTGGCTGTTACTAAACAACCAGGATGGCAGGACAAGGACAGCTCTATTTACAGGCACTTTCCTGCTTCTCAATAATATTAATCTTGATGGTCAGAGGGCACGGCAATATCTTCAAGAGGCTGCTCCGGAGTGACGCACAGGTGAAATTGTGACCATTGCAGGACTGGGACAAAATATTTTTTTCAAAACCACTGATCCACGTACCTCTTTTTTCATAAATATGAAAAAAGTAAAAAAAATATTCTTTTACTAAGAATAAAAAAAAAAATCATAGTATTAGAAGCAGACCCACCACTGGTCCACCCTTCTATCCAACCTAATATCTAATAACCATGAATCATTCAGCTTTTGCTGGAGCAGGATTTTTTTTTTTTTAAAAAAAGTATGTTTTTATTGATTTCAGAGAGGAAGGGAGAGAGAAAGATGAATGATGAGAGAGAATCACGCTCCACAACCCGGGCATGTGCCCTGACCGGGAATCGAACCGCAATCTCCTGGTCCAAAGGGCCACGCTCAACCACTGAACCATGCTGGCAGGCCTGGAGCAGGCTTTTGGACCAAGGGCTGTAATTTCAAACTCAAAGCCTTCAAAACAATGATGGCTGGCTGGTCATTTGCCCAAACCTTTGGGTCATCCTAATGGCAAGTGGTGATCCCTGCTTCCTGCCTTCCCCCAAAACGTACCCATGATCCTGCGGATGGGGTTGTCAGGACTGGCCACCGCCTGGATCTGGCCCTTGAGCACGATCTCCTTGTCCGTGGTAAAGGGGGTGAACCCACACAGGGAAAGGCAGCTGCTCACCTCCAAGCAGACTTTCTCACCAATGGTTGTCAGGGCATCCTTCAGATGGAAGGAGCTTGAGTAGAAAAGGGAAAGGAGAAGCCAGGGAAGAAAGAACCTATAAACAAGGTGCACCTCTGCCCATGTCCTGATAAAAATCATACAACCAAGTTGTGGGCTGATGTGTCCAAAGGAAACATCTGTGACTCTTCGCTGCCCATAACCTCTCCCCTCTACACTCTCTCCCTTCCTCTCTCTTTCCTCCCAACCCCAGAAAGGACAGTGGGGAGGGGAGAACTCAGAAAACATCAGGACCAACAACTCAAAACCCAACTTCTTGCTAGCATGTGTGGTAAAATCAGCCTGGAACTGACTTAGAATATCCTGAATAACTCTGGAACAATACACAAGACACCAGAAATTAGGTAGCAATGGGACAGAAGTGGGAGAGAAACTTTTCATTCAATACACCTTTTCCCGTTTAATTTTCAAAAGACGTGAGTATAACTACTTTAAAAGAATGAGTAAAACTGAAATCTAAAGGTTAAGATAATTAATATATGGATTTCTTGGGGGCCCAGGTCTGCTGGGAACCCTCCCAGCAGCTGGGTATTCTGGGAGGTATTCTGCTGGTCTGCTGGCAGGTATTTTGTGAGAAGGCAATTAATTGCCTTTGTTGGGGGTCTAGAGTCTTAAAACGGCAGAACTAGTGGGAGCAAATGTGCAAGCCCTGCACTCACTGCTGGCACCAGCTCTGACTGCCAGGGTGAATATGGCCATGCAGGGCTGGACTCCTAAGGACTCGCTGAACAGGGCCCCTCTCATCAGTAACTGACAGAGCAGTGTTACTGGAGGGGAACCTTTGTGACAGCTCAGGGTTACACCTGCACGAGAGCCCCAGGCTAGGCCTCAGCTCAGCAAACACCCTCCTGCCCTATTGAACCCCTAGTCACAACATGTGGACGTGCCCCTCACTGCACCAAACACATGCATGCTTTATGCAAACTCAGCAGTAAAAGTCCTCCTTTCGTAAGGATGAAAATGTTTTGGGGACATTCCCCTTGAGGAATCTTCTCAATTAGACCTTGTCAGACCTTGCTTACTTAGAACCATTCTAAATTTTCCATATGCTATAAACCACATAAATGGCCTAATCTGACTTCACTGTAAGAGCAGTTACAGCAGCTGCCCTTAAAAGTTGGATTAGCCCTGGCTGGTTTGGCTCAGTGGATAGAGCGTCGGCATGCAGACTGAAGGGCCTGGGTTCGATTCTAGTCAAGGGCACATGCCCAGGTTGCAGGCTCAATCTAGAGTAGGGGTGTGCAGGAGGCAGCCAATCAATGATTCTCTCTCATCACTGATATTTCTCTTTCTATCTATCGCTCTCCCTCTCTGAAATCAATAAAAATATTTAAGAAAAAAAAGTGTGCATTAGTGCTGGTTGATAAAATAATCCAATATACCCAGCACAAAATGTCTATGAGAAATGTGCAAAGGGCAGAAAACTTAAAAAATATATTTTTATTGATTTTGAGAGAGATAGAAAGGGAGAGAGATAGATAGAAATGTAGATGAGAAACATTAATCAGCTGCCTCCTGTATGCCCCATACTAACCCAGGCATGTACCCTGACTGGAAATCAAACTGGTGACCTCTTCGTTCATGAGTCGATGCTCAACCACTGAGCCACACCAGCCAGGCACAAACAGTATTTTTATTAAAATATATTTTTATTGATTTCAGAGAGGAAGGGATAGGGAGAGAGAGAGATAGAAACATCAATGATGAGAGAGAATCATGGATCTGCTGCCTTCTGCATGACCCCTACTGGGGATCGAGCCTGCAACCCAGGCATATGCCCTGGACTGGAATCAAACCTGGGACCCTTCAGTCCGCAGGCCGACGCTCTATCCACAGAGCCAAACCAGCTAGGGCAGCAAACAGTATTTTTTAATGGAATAGAATAGAAATACCTGGGTGTATTAAACATAGTTAGGGTAGATTGCAATTTTTGAAATCTTTATTTACATATGTGATGTGTGTAAGTGTGTACTAGGTCACAATAGAAAATAAATTTCTTACTATGGGTCCTGGTCAGAAATATGTGAAAGCCACTATCCTAGAGCCTTTCTAACATGGAGTTGATGCTAACTTTGACCATATGACTGAATAAATTCTGCTGGAGTAAAGAAAGCTGGAGAGCAAGGTCTCTCGATTCCTAGAAGGTGGCCCTAGAGCAGGGGTGGGCAAACTTTTTGACTCGAGGGCCACAATGGGTTCTTAAACTGGACCGGAGGGCCGGAACAAAAGCATGGATGGAGTGTTTGTGTGAACTAATATAAATTCAAAGTAAACATCATTACATAAAAGGGTACGGTCTTTTTCTTTTTTTAGTTTTATTCATTTCAAATGGCCCGCGGGCCGTAGTTTGCCCACGGCTGCCCTAGATCTTGCCTTACACTTGGAGACCTCAGTTCCTGCCTGCTCTCTGCCCACCCACTGCCTCCACCCATCCATTAAAGGCCCTCTACACACAGGGGACAATGCCCTGGGAGGACCCAGGGTATCTTTAGCCACTTACGGCAGATGCATATCTGTGAGCAGGATCTTCACGATCATCTTGAGTTTCTCAGCGAAGGTGGCCTGGTTGGAAACACCTGAGGCAGCCATGCTGAACGTGACCAGCAGCACCGCCCCCAGGACGGTGAGGTGTTCCAGCTGGAGCTGGAGCTCTTGGAAGCGAGCCTGGTCCATCAGCACTGTCTGTGATGAAAACAGAAATCACCCTTGAGCTGTAGACTCAGGCTGCCAGCAGAGGGCGGTGGGGCCACAGCCTCTAAATTTTCCCTCAGATTTCCTAGTCATTTCACAGCCATAAAGAAATCATGTGTGAATTATCCTTCCATTCACACGTGGGCTAAGACTAGGAGCCCCTTCTTCCTCAGAGAGGCTGCAGTAGAGCACACCCATTAAGAACACGAGACAGCCCTAACTGGTTTAGCTCAGTGGATAGAGCATCGGCCTGCGGACTCAAGGATCCCGGGTTTGATTCCAGTCAAGGGCACAATCCCCAGTGGAGGGCATGTAGGAAGCAGCCGATCAATGATTCTTTCTCATCATTGAAGTTTCTCTCTCTCTCTCCCTCTCCCTTCCTCTCTGAAATAAAAAATATATATACTTTTGAAAATTTTAAATAAAATAAATAGAAGTTACATCATTAGATAGGAAAGGGTAATGAGGTACAGAGCACGGGTAACCAGCTCATCCCAGTTTGTCCAGGGCTGTCTCGGTTTTAAAACAGAAACCAAGTCCTGTGAACGACCACCACGTCAGAGTGAAATGCCCCACCTCTCCGACTCCGCGTGTGCAAGGCTGCCTCGTTCCAGGCCTCAGGCCAATAGCTCCTGTGTGTCTGGCACACAGACATGCTTATCACTAGAGGAACTCTGCTGTGGCTGGAGCCTTACAAAATCAGCCCCGCCCACATTCCATTGGGCTGGTGCAGAAGAGGCCTGACCTCTGTACTTCCAGAAGGTGGATTTGAGGTGAGGCCTCCCATCTTCTTGGTGCCTCTTGATCAATAAACCTCCCCTTACTCTAGACTCTGAGGTTTTGAGTTTTAGTTTTTCCAAGCATTGAGCACACCCTCCCCACAACACATACACACACACATCAGTCCTGGGCAAACCAGCGATTCACTTATCTGGTACCAGAGTGAAGGAGGAAAGTCCTTGAGGGCAGAGCCTATACTTATTCACCCTCATTACCCAGAAAGGAGATGCTCAAGAATTGGTAAGTGGTTAAAGAAAGAGAAAAATAAACAGTAAACGGAAAAAGTGGGAATGACAGGTAATAACCCAAAGCCTCCTGGAAAGCAGTCAGTGGTGAATTTCCATGGCTGTGTCCTGTGTTAAAGACACCCTGGGTCCTCCCAGGGCAATGTCCCCTGCATGGAGTGAGGGAAAGAGCAGAAGAAAGACTGAGGAGATATGACTTCTGATCTGAGTTTTTACAGGTTAATCAAATGAACTTTCAGGACCAGTCTTGCTATAAGAAGCTGACACACCAACTCAAGGCAGTAACAATTTGGGGTCTTAGCCCAGAATTCGTCTCAAGGAGTAAAAATTATCCTTGAAGATTGAGATTCAGTTGTTAAACACAAATGCCCTTAACCAACTCGGTCTCTTTTTTCACTTCATTTTGCTACACAGCAGCGTCCTTACTTTGATGCCTCCCAATAGAATGCAGTATAGTGAGTTTAGGACGCCAAAGATTTCCAAAAATCAATTCCAAAAGTAATCATCTATCCCCAATGAAAACACCGTCCTCTTCACAGCTATTTTTTTAAGGCTGAGAACTGCCCTCCAGCAGAGAACCCGCTCCCGACTCCCTACCCCTAATTCAACACCCTCTTGAGGCACAAAACACGGAACTCAGAGGCAAGAGATGAAACCTTAGGCTTTCAATGTCATGAAAACAATCATAAGGAACTTAGAGATAACGATATTTAGAGAAGTAGCAGTGCCTGCGGCTAGAGATCAGAAGCCTGAGTGCCCTCAAAAAAGAGGGGGAGTCTACACACCAAACCAGCTACTTGCAGACAAAATGGGGAAATTCCTTGTTAGTCATCTCCTCAAAGGACTGCTGCAGTTACAACTTACTGTGAAAAACACAGTAAGAAAAAATATCGCTCGGCATGGAAAGGGAAGAAGTTTCTTTAGATAAAACTAACAGGCACCATCAATGCTACTGTTTGATCAAGATGAGTAACAACAGGATAGCGGTTCAGCAGTACAAGTTGGAAGCCCCATACATTGCTGATGGGACCATAATATGAGCAGCTACTTTGGAAACCAGTTTGGCAGTCCCTCAAAATGTTAGAGTCACCACATGACCCAGAAACTAATCGTTTGAGATACCCAAGAGAACTGAAAACATACGTTCACACAAAAACTTGTACCCAAATGTTCACAGCTGCTTATCCACAACAGCCAAAAAGTAGAAACAATCCAAATGTAATCCAAATGTTCATCAACTGGTAAAGGAATAAACAAAATGTGGTATTGCCATGAAGCCTTAAAAAGAAATGCTGACACATGCTACAACATGGATGAACTCTGAAGACGTTATGCTGAATGAAACAAGCTAGACACAAAAGGACAAATATTGTATGGCTGAACTCATATGAGGTACCCAGAGTAGTCAAAATCAGAGACACAAAATAGAATGGTGGCTGCCAGGGGCAGAGGGAGGAAAGAATGAGTTACTGTTTAAAGGGCACATAGCCCTGGGTGGGGAGTTCAGTTGGGAAGAGTATGGTCCCGAAACACCAAGGTTGCGGGTTTGATCCCTAGTCAAGGCACATACAAGAGGCAACCAATGAATGCATAAATAAGTGGAACAACAAATCAATGTTCCTCTCTCTCTTTAAAATCAATGAAAAAAAAATAAAAATTTAATTTAAAAATAAAATAAATAAAGGGTACAGTTTTAATCTGTGAAGATGGAAAAGTTCTGGAGATGGATGGTGGGGATGGCTGCACAACAATGTGAATACTTAAGGCCTTCAGAGGCCCTGGTGCATTACTGAACTATACACTTAACACTGATAAATTCTGTAATGTGTATTTTACAAAGAAAAATACAACTAAAAAAAAAATAGGAATGACATACTGACACATGCCACAACATGGGTGAACATATCTTTAGTGAAAGAAGCCAGACACAAAGGCTGATACTGTATGATTCCACTTATAAGAAACGTCCAGCATAGGCAAATCCACAGAGACAGAAAGTAGATTCGTGGTCAGGGATGGAGGCGGAGGGTGGGGAAGGTAGTGACTGCTAATGGGTACAGGGTTTCTTTTTGAGGTAATGAACATGTTCTGAAATGAAATAACGGTAATGGTCACATTACTCTGTGAGTATCCAAAAAAAACCAAACACTGAATTGTACAATGTAAAAGGGGAAATGTTGTGGTATATGAATTATAGCATCACAAAACTATTATTTTTTAAAAGTTCGGCAGCACAAAAAGAAACGAGCAGTCACCCTGCTCTGGAGCACTTACCTCGGGGAAAGGTTGCTGGAGGTGGTCCCACTTCAGAAGCTTCAGGTACGCGTGATTCTGGACAGCAACGGGACTAGGCGTGGGACTGCCCCCCGATCCGGCGGCCCCTCCCACAGCTGGCAGGGCATTTTTATACGTCTGATGCATAAGGTCATCTGCGGCTTCTCCCAACCACTGGGTGACAAAGTCCAGGGAATCTGTGAAAAACAAGGCTGTGGGCATTACTGTAACCATCAGGAGGGATGCTTCTCGGAATTACCTTTGGGAAGGCCATCCTGGAGGTGTGGTAGAGTACAGAGAATGGACTTTGGAATCAAATAGAACTTGGTCCAAATCACAGTATCACTAATTACTGGCTGAGTGATCTTAGGCAAGTCATAATCTGTCTGAACATCAGATTCCTAAAATAAGGAAGTGTGCATCACGTGACAGTCTGTTGTGCGGATGAAACAAGATTGTGCCTATAAAGCACCTAACCTGGCCTTGCCACCTACAGATGGTCAATGAACTGCTCTCTTCTCTCCCACCCTGGCTTTTCCTTGTCTAGATCTTAGTCTCCTTTCAAGCTGGTTTACCATTAGCCTTGCAGGAGGTGAGCTTTGTCACACGTTTGATGTGTATTATGCAGCGTTTGGAGCACTGTCTTTCATCCACTATCACCCTCTCCCTACTTTTCTAAGTAGAGTAAGGCACCAGGGACTCTGAAGGACACAAGAGAAAGAAAATGAGGCTCCTGCCACATTATCTGAGCAAGAAATCCCTCTGGCAGGTCCTGGAACGGGGCTCAGCTCTGCCAGTGGAGTCCACCTGAAAGCCCGTGGGCAGCCAAGGCCAGGGCTGGAGTTCACTCTTGGTTGATGCAGGAGACACACCTCTGCTTCTGTCAACACAGGGATCACACGGAGCTCTTGGTTCTGAGCTTCGCTCTTGCTTTAGCCTTCTTCTGCCAACAGCATTCTCCAGGCCCAGCAGCTTTGGGAAACCTTAGCTTTTATGCTGTGAGTATTAAGTTCTAGACTCTGGCCACAGTGTGCCCTTTGCGGGGTCCCAGCTGCCGGACCTGGCTCTCACACTAAGTCTCTTCCGCCAGTCAGACTGCAACCCTGCATGTCTCCTGAGAGGCAGGACAACACTGGATGAGGAAGTGAGCTGTGTGGTCAATCAGTTCTAGCCAAAAATCTCTCAAATCTATGTCCACATCTATAAATGAGGTTAAATATAGGGCCCACCTCAGAGGCTTAGTGTGTGAGGGTTATACTTGATAATGCACGTACACCCTGGGCACAAGCCTGGGACGGAACAAACATCAGCCAGTCTTCCTCTGGTCTGATACTTCTACTCTGCTCTGTCCTTCTCCTCCTGGCCCAGCACCATCCCAAACGTCTCTGTCTGGGGCTGGATGAACAACTGCTCAGGGCTGAATGAACTATTCTGGTCCGGCAACACAGTCCATGCCGAGACAGGCACTTTCACTTTGTGACCAGCAAAGTTACAGGTTAAACGGGACTAGTCTTAAAATAGATCTGAAGATTGCAATTTACCCAGACAGTAGCTGCGAATCCAGAGACCCGCAAGTCACCCTCGAAATGCAACATAATTTTGGATTCTATAGTCATCTGTTTTCCTGCAGTCATCTGAGAGGTTCATAAAAGTAAGACTTTTCTGGGTCTGAAGACAGATTTATGAATATGAAACCGAAGCAAAGTGAAATTTCTTGATGTACCTCACAGGGAAGAGAAAAGTGAATCCAACAGTCACAAGAAGTTTGTCATGTTTGTTTCATTTTTTAATTTAATTTAATTTTTTATTTCAAAGAGGAAAGGAGAGAGAGAGAGAGATACCAACATCAATGATGAGAGAGAATAACTGACTGGCTGTCTCCTGCAAGCCCCACACTGGGGACCCAGTCCGAAACCCCAGGTGTATGCCCTGACCGGGAATCGAACTATGACTTCCTGGTTCATAGGTTGATGCTAAACCACTGCGCCATGCTGGCTGGGCTGTCATGTTTTAAAATCAAGGCCAAGCATAAAATTTATCTCAAATTGGTGTCATCATTAAAAACCTATTTAAGATCATCATTCTTTCGATATGGGGGGGAAAAAAGGAACAACTGTAATAATCTGAACAATAAAGATTTAATTTTAAAAAAAATCACCATTCTTTCAATTTTCTATTCTTTTCTTTAATCCTTACTCAAGAATGTGTTTTTTTATTGATTTGAGAGAGAGAAACTTCAGTTGCCTCCCATATGTGCCTGGACCGGGGATTAAACCCACAACCTGGGTATGTGCCCTGACCAGGAATCAAACATGTCACCTTTTGGTGCATAGGACGACACTCCATCCAACTGAGCCACACTGGCCAAGGCTTAAATTTGTATTTTTATATCCTACTTATATTTCTCTTGTTTGTCAATTAAACTTTCTTTTCAAGTGCTAATGTCTGTGCTTTTCTGTCTTCAAATAAGACTATTCTTACACTAAAGTTTTGCTTTGAAAATAATATTGTTATGCAACAAGCTACAGCAACTAAATTAAAAAGAAACAGACAACAAAAGAACATCCCAAAACATTTAAACATACTTGGCTGCTTCTCCAAAAGCTCTTGAAACTTCTTCCTTTCATATTCAACTGACTGCTGCATGAGATGTGGCCTGATGCTACTGACAGCAAAGTTCGCCATGTCCACTTTCATCAGGTCCAACACAGAAAAAATTGCCCTAAAAGAGGAGAGCAAAGGATTTAGAACTGGACACTGTAAAGTAAACATAGTTTTAACAAAAAGAGGTGATCTGAGATAGTCTTTTCATCTCAGAAAGGTTGGCAGGAAAAGTGAGAAAAATCATGAGGAAGTGAATTAAGAAAAACACATTCAGAAAACACAAAAGCTTAAGTAATAGTTTGAAAAGACTGCAAATTTTTAAGCTGCTTTCTGTCCCCACCCCTTTACCCCGTGCCCCCAAGCAAACATAGCTCTCCCCACTGCCTGTCTAGACCGGAATGCATTCCTTGGCTTTGGGGCAGCCCTCACAGCAGCCACAGAGGAAGGAAGGAGCCCAAGATTCGAGGTTAAGGGCAGAGAGCTCATCACCCAGTAGCTATTCTCACATAGGTTAATTCACGTTCCTAGGGGAGAAAGGAAATTAACTCTCCTCTCTCCTCTCCTCCTACCTCAGTGTCTCTTACTTCAGGGCATGCTTTACATTCTAGTTCTGGTGGCAGAACTGCTGTTTCATTCTCCGAATGTACCCAATGAGCAGACTTGACACAGTCATCCCATCTTAAGAACCTATCTTTAGGAAATAACCTAAAATACAGGTAAAAGTTTTGTGCACAAAGATGTTCATTGCTGGGTTAAATAGTAAATAATTATACATAATCTAATTGTTGATTTTCACACACAAAAAAAACACCTTAATTATATTCAAATGAATATTTTGCAGCTATTGAAAATGCTTATAGGGAGTTTTTTAAAAATCATATAAGTTGGTTATAAAAGGGCAATGCAAGAGATCCTTGTGGTGTTAAAACTGTTCAGTAAATTAAATGTGGTGGCAAATACACAAATTCACACAGATAATAAAATCATATAAAAATACACAAACACACAAATATATATACAAGTAAATCAGGAAACCTAAGTGAGAGTAGTAGATTGTATCAATGTCAATATTCTGGTTGCAATACACTACATTTTACAAAATGTTACCATTGAGGGAAAACTGGATAAAGTGTACTATATTATTTCTCACAACTCCATGTGAATATACAATATCTCAATGACACTTTAAATTTCCAGAGACATGGAAGCATGGAACAGATGCAGAATCTCAGAGGGAAGGTGGGGGAGAGTAGGTGGGTGGGGGGTAATCAACCAAAGACCTTATATTCATATATGCATAACCCATGGACACAGACAATAGGGTGCTGAAGGCCTGGGGCAGGGAGCAGGGGCAGGCTGGAGGGAGTCAATGGGGGGAAAAAGGGGACACATGTACTACTTTCAACAATAAAGAATTATTTTTTAAAAATAAGTGAAATGATTAGGGTATAATGTTAACAGAGAAAGGCCTGCAATGCTCACTAAGTCTCCTCAGGTTCATCTGAATATTCACACTCACAAGACTATCATAAGCCACAGCCTTGGCACCATCTAGTCACACAGCTTGCCAACAGGGCAGCTCCAAACATTCCTCTTCAACAAGAGTTTCAGTACCAGCCACAAGCACACAACTCAGACATGTGAGAGCCACCTGGCTTAAAAGCCTCAGGTGAGAAAATATTTTTTTAAATTTGTTTTATTGTTTAAAGTATTACAAATAGGAGTACATATGTCTCCTTTTTTTCCCCATTGACCTTCCCCTGGCCTCCCCTAGGCCGCCCCCCCCCCCCCCCCCGCGCATGCCCTCACCCCCCCGCAATGTCTTGTGTCCATTGGTTATGCTTATATGCATGCATACAAGTCCTTCGGCTGATCTCTTACCCACCCCCCCAACACTCCCCAGCCTTCCTGCTGTAATTTGACAGTCTTCAGGTGAGAAAATATTTTGTAACAACTCTATAGCATGGCTTCCAGGGTCCTCACTAGGGGTCCAATTATAAAAGCTACCTCACTAAAGGAAGTTCAAAGTATGGTGTCCCATCCAGTATTTATAGTTCATTATTATTCCTTTCAGTCCAGACGCAATTCACCAATCAGAGTTCACGTGCCCCATAAGCAATGTTGCCTAGTGCCATTTTGATACAAAACATCTTTATCTGTTCACAGGAACACACAGCTAAGCAGTTAACCAAAAGTCAAAATCTCAGGCAGCATCAATCAATTCTTTGTCCACATTAGCATAACAATTATATAAATTTAATAATAATGATATATATTTAAATATAAACATGCAAAAGACCAAAGAAAGTTAATATAAAATATGTTAGTTAATAGGATTATATTAAAGTTAAATTTATTGAATGTCTTGTTTGTATTCTGATTATATAGAATGTCTACATTCTTAGGAGATGCTGAAATATTTAAAGGTGAAATGTCACAATGTCTGCCATTAACTCTCACAAGGTTCAGGAGAAAAAAACATACACACATGCATACATACTCACAAGTATATATAAAAAAAGCAAATTGGGAGCCCTGGCTGGGTGGCTCAGTTGGCTGGAGCATCATCCCGTACACCAAAAAGGTTGTGGGTTCAATTCTTGGTCAGGGCACATGCCTTGGTTGCAGGTTCCATCCCCGGTAGGGGCATGTATAAGAGGCAACCAATCAAGGTTTCTCTCTTACATCAATGTTTCCCTCTCTCTCTCTCTCTCTCTCTCTCTCTCAAATCAATAAAAACATATCCTCGAGTGAAGAATAAAAAGATAAAATAAACAAAATATAAAGAAAGCAAATTGACAAAATGTTAAAAATTGGTGGATCTACATAAAGGGTATATGAGTCATAATTATACTGTTTTTGTGACTTTTCTGTAGATTTGGAATAAAAAAACATTAATGGTAAAAAACTAAAAAAATATATATCAACATTATAACAGTGATTGCGCCTTTTGGTGGTAAAGTTATGGGTGAACTTTTCTCTTCTTTCTACCTTTCTATGTTTTATAAAATGTTTCCTGTTTAAAATTTTTTTAAATGCCTGAGTTATCTGCCCTAGCCAGTTTAGCTCAGTGGATAGAGTGTCGACCCACAGACTGAAGGGTCCCAGGTTCAATTCTGGTAAAGGGCATGTACCTCGGTTGCAGGCTTGATCCCTGGCCCTGGTCGAGGTGCATGTGGGAGGCAACCAATCAAAGTGTCTCTCTCACATCGATATTTCTCTCTCTCTGACTCTTCTCCACCCTTCCACTCTCTCTAAAAATCAACGGAAAATTATCCTCGGGTGAGGATTAACAATAACAACAAAAATGCATGAGTTATCTGTATTTGAGAAGAGGTTTTTGAAAAGAGGTTCTGTGTTCTAGGTGCACTGAGGTGATTAACACAACTCTCATACCTGAAAAGGGGCACTATTTCCTTAATGTCCTTTAGCTTCTTAACTTCCTCATCTCGAGCAGGTGCACACAGTGTCCCCATCATGCCAATAATGAATTCAACTAGCTTGGAAATGTCAAGGGCCCCATTCTCTGCCTCCTGCTTTATGAGATCCAGATCCAAGACTTCCGTAATCTGGTTTCTCAGTCTAGTGTGACCAGGCAGCAAGAAAGATAAGAGAGTCTGCAAAAGAGTACAGCCAACTTTAATCAGTTTCCTAGTCAGACATCATTTTTTATTATATATACAGGAATTTACTCCTACCCAAATGAGGACTTACCAACTGTTACTATAAGGTTGCACATATTTTAACCCCTCATTCAACAAGTCTACAGAAAAACATGTCTACAAATCATTTAGAGCTATTTAAGTTTCCATTTAAGTTCTAGGTAACGCTCAACTGAATAGAAGTGAGAAAAGTAAAACACATTAACACAAGCCTGTGAACCAGCCACAGAGGCCAATTTCCACAGAAACATCTCTTCTTTGATACTACTGTAAAAGGCATCACAAAAACAGCCCTTTCACTTAAGGCCTTCTCTATTCCTCAGGCTGAATCACTTTTTGGCCACTATAAATTGAACGTGTCCACACCTATTGAAAATTTTATAAATCACCTATATTTCATAAAATAAATTTTCTCTAAATAATTCTGGTTTTTTTTAATTATTTTTATTTTTATTATTTTTTTATTTTTATTTTTTTTATTGCTTAAAGTATTACAAAGAGTATTACATATGTCTCCTTTTTTTTTCCCCCGCCCTTGACAATCCCCTGGCCTCCCCTACCCCCCAGTGTCTTATGTCCATTGGTTATGCTTATATGCATGCATACAAGTCCTTTGGTTGATCTCTTACCCACCCCCCTCCTGCCCTCCCACCCTCCCCGGCCTTCCTGCTGTAGTTTGACAGTCTGTTCGAGGCAGCTCTGCCTCTGTATCTATTTTTGTTCATAAGTTTATAATGGTCTTTATTATCCAGAAATGAGTGACATCATGTGGTATTTTTTCTTCATTGACTGGCTTATTTCACTTAGCATAATGCTCTCCAGTTCCATCCATGCTGTTGCAAATGGTAAGAGTTCCTTCTTTTTTATAGCAGCATAGTATTCCATCGTGTAGATGTACCAGTTTTCTAATCCATTCATCTACAGATGGGCACTTAGGCTGTTTCCAGATCTTAGCTATGGTGAATTGTGCTGCTATGAACATAGGGGTGCATATATCCTTTCTGATTGGTGTTTCTTGTTGCCTGGGATATATTCCTAGAAGTGGGATCACAGGGTCAAATGGGAGTTCCATTTGTAGTTTTCTGAGGAAACTCCATACTGTCTAATAATTCTGTTTTTTAAAATATTAATCTTTTCTTTGTCTACAAAGGAATGCCTTCAGGTTATCATAGCTTGTTTGAAACATTAAAAAGGGCTTTAAGCCAAAAGTACTCAATCCACATTTTGGCAAGTAATTTAATTTCATCCTTAATTTCTTTAGTCTTCTGGCACAGTAACACAGAGAAGTGGAATATTCCTAACACACCAGAAAAGCACCACAATTTGCTCTTCACCTTACCTCTTTGATCTCCCCGAGAAGTTTAATGGCATGGTCATAGGTTGGGGGGTCCTCACTTAGCTGGACACTCAAGCAATCCCAGAAAGCTTTATGTACAATCTCCTTCACTTTCTTCTCCAAACTGGAGGCAAATGGGGGAGGGGGGAAGCAAAAACAAATAAAATATTTGAGCTCAAATCACATTTTAAAAATTAAAACAGCTTTTTTTGAACTATGATTTACATACTATAAAATTCACCTGTTTTAAGCATACCATTCAAAGATTTTTAGTAAACTCATCAAGTTGTGCAACCATCACCACAGTCCAACAAAACATTTCTATCACTTCAGGAAGACCACTCGTGCCCAAGTTGTGCACCAGGTTCCAAAGATGCCTGAAGGCATTCCCAGAGTACAAGCCATTGGGCTTGGCCACCCTGCCCCTACCCTCAACCTAGTTGAATACGACATATCTCCAGAAACCTGGAAGGCACAAGCTGAGCAGGTGGCCATAAGATACCTGCTTACAAGAGAGTACCTGCTTCAGTACAACGAACCCAGTCTCCTAGAGCCCATCAAAGATCCTGCTTTGAATCATTGGGCCTACACAAGATCAGCAAATGCCTATCCCAATTTCAGACCCATTCTCAAGGCCTCACTCTTAGGAGCTGTGATTAGAATTGGGTCCCTCTTCTCTGGTATTACATTTTTAAAACTGATAGAGAGATAGGAAAGAAAAACTTATCCAGGAAGGAAAATTGGATCAAACATTTAACATCTCACATTAAGTCTACTATGAGTACTATATGTATTATTGTTTAAATAAGTCTTCTATTAATTATTATAAAAAACAAACATCCTTGTGCCTATTAGGAGTCACTGCCCAGTTCCACCCCAACCCAGGCAATCACTAATCTACTTTCTGTCTCTACAGATTTTCTTCTCTGAATTTTTCATGTAAATGAAATTGTACAGTATGAGGACTATGGGTCTGGATCCTTCTACTTGGCAAAATGCTTTTAAGCACTGTCATCCATATAACATGTATCAGTGCTTTGATCCTTTTTATGACTGAAACATATTCCATTACATGGATATACCACATATTATTTACCTATTCATGTGATGATGGGACAGTTGGGTTATTTCTACTTTTGGCTATTATCAAATCACTTTCAAAAACACAAATTCTACAGGTTTAGGGTGAGAATTTTTTTTTAATTGGAATAAAAGAAAGATTTACCAGACATAATTAAACTAATCACATGTCTTCTTATTTTTAGTTAGTGATTTATTTCAATAAGTACCTCACTGGAAAGAATAACTTTCAACTAATTTGACAGATGGCATTAAACCAGTTAACAGCATTAACAATGCCATATGATAAAAAGAATATTGGAAAGTTTAGAGCTGTTAATTTTTAAGTTTTTTTATACCATCAAGTTTCCTAAGGTATTTATGATTAAGTAGTTTAAAATAACAATCTGGCATATATATATATATATATATATATATATATACATACACACACACACACACACACACACGCATACACACACACATACACACATACATACATACATACACATACATATCCTTTATTTCCTAACAAAATCCTATTTCCATGTGATATATGAAACAACTGCTTAGACGAGGTACCAAACTATAACATCTTATAACACTTCATTAAAACCAGTAATTATCGCCCAGCCAGTGTGGGTCAGTGGTTAGTCCACCAGCCCACATACTGATGGGTTGAAAGTTCGGTTCCTGGTCTAAGGCACTTATCTGGGTTGTAGGTTCGACCCCCGGCCCCAATCAGGGCACATGTGGGAGGCAACCAATCGATGTGTCTTGCCGGGGTCCAACCCCAGCAGGTCCAGGGGTCCCCAAAGGCGTGGACGGAGTCGGCGAAGAAGGAAGGACATGGAGACAGTGTTCAGTTGATCAGCAGCCTAGCCAGGATGTCCAGCCAGGATCTCCAGCCAAGTTCTGGTCTGGATCTCCAGAGAGGTTCTGGTGTTTATTGTCTTGTTACATCCATATTTATACCAGTTGATTTTAATCCTGTCAATTTCTATTACAAAGGTTAGGGCGTTTCTTATCTCCATTCCAGGGAGTAAAGATTATGTAGCTTAAGCATGATTGTTTGTAGTTAAAATGATTAACTACCCACCTGGCACTTAGTTAAGGAGTTTCATCCCCTCCCTAACTTCAGGGAAAAATCCCTACCTGGGGAAACAACCTTTCTCGGAGAGGTGACCTTGGTTAAAACACACAGCGCTAAGGGGAGCAAACATATTAAGAACAGTATGCTATATACGCCAGGTCCCTTGAAACATATGCTGTGCAGATGTTTCTATCCTGCAGCGACTGTGTCAAGCAGCAAGGATGGACCGGCTTCCGGCAGTGTCTCCCTCATATCGATGTCTATCTTTCTGTCTCTGTCTCTTCTCTCTCTTCCCCCCTTCCTCCTTCCCTTCCACGCTCTCTAAAAAAATCAATGGAAAAATATCCTTGGATGAGGATTAATAAAATAAATAAATAAAACTTGTAATTCTACTACGAGAGCAAAACAAGTAATTCTGCATTATTACTGTGAAAAAGTACTATCTTGGCAGAACACATAAGAAATGTCTGTAAAGTCATATTTAAAAGCCTATTGTGGGAGACACTAGCACTTGCCAACCCAGCAGCCATTCCTCCTCCTTTCTTTTTTCCATGGCCCTTTCACAATTATAATGGCCAATGATTTTTCTTCCTTATGACCATACATCTTAAAAGGTGCACCTTACAATCAATAGAGTATTAGATTCAATATGGTATTTGCCAGGTGCTAGGGATACAGAGAACAAGGTATAGTTCTTGTCTACAGAGCAGGGTGGGGAACATCCAGCCTGCCGGGCCATACAAGGCCCACAAAATCACTTGGGCTGGCCCTGCCAAAGCATTAGGGTGAGTTCATTAAATGTTCGACCAAATATAGCAGGCTCATTTTCAAGTTGATAATTTTGTATGGCCTTTGAATGATGCTAAAAATATCTAAGTAGCCCTGGGCAGAAAAGGTTCCCCACCCCTGATGCAGTTTACAACCTGGTAAGAAACACAAGTAAACCAACAGCTACAGTGCAATGTGATAGTTACGAGAAATGAATGAAACGAGCAATGAAAACACAGTAGGAGGCAGCTAAGTCCTATGGAGAAGGGAGAAGTGAACATGAAAGATTTTTCTTTACATTTTTGAAGGATCAATGGTCCTTCGATCCACTTTCAAACTCGAGTAATTCTTGGTAGAGGAGTATTTTTTAGAAACATACAAAAGGAGAGGTGTATTTGAATATAATGACATCAACTGAAGAACAGAACTAGGAAATGACAGTATTCTACTAAACAAGTAACTTAGTAACCACCTTACCTGTCTTCTGGTAATTCAACAGGTTTAATCTGGAAGTCTCCATTGACTACAATTTCATGGGCTAGAGCCATGTTAGTGACTCCTTTTGCTGTCTCTAGAAGCTCTTCTACTGTCACAAAGCGAGGAGGACTGGCTGTAACAAAAAATCCAGTGTAAGAGATTTGCTTCTCTAGATTAGAATTTCTATTAAAGTAAGGAGAAGGAAGTAGTTCTGGCACTAGCTAATAATTTTTGGTTAGGCCTCTACTTACGAAAATATTCCGGCAATTTCAAACAAAAAACCTGTATTATTATTATTTTTTTAATCTAGAGTCCTAAAAGCAGAAATTGTTTACAATGCTCAAAACATGTTTTGTTTTACTGAGACTGGTCAATGAGAAATGATTACAATTAACTGAGACAGAAAAACTTTTACAGACTATCAATCCTTAACGACAAATGAGAGACGCCAGATTTAAGATTTCCTGTTTTGCTCCCATGAGCAGTTTACATTTTGCTCCACCAGTAACACTATCCATGAATGAATCTCCCAAAATTAAAACAGCAGCAAGTACTTTAGGTGCCAGGTGCTGTTTAAACATTGCCAAAACACTACCCTGTACAGATACCAAGAGAGAACATGCGTTCTAAAGCTGACCAATGAAGAAATCAGAGGGTGTGTGACCCAAGAACTTTGTAGAATACAGGCTCACTGTGTCAAAGCCTTGAGTCCTCTGATTTCTCCCGTCCCACAGCTCTGATATCCAAGTCCTGTAGATTTCACTTCCGTATCAACAGCTGCAATAACTAGACTCCATCTCTCCCTCTCCTTGGATAAAACTTGTGATTTATCTTCCAGAAATCTCCCCAGGTGTTCTGAGCCAAGGAACACTGGATAATTCTGATAAATACATGGATTTTCTTGTATATCAATAAAGCTGTTTTTAAAATAAAGTCCATGATAGCAGTGCTTTAGCCTATAACAGAATTGGGCGGGGGAAGGGGGAAATGCTTGTGAAAACAGATTGCTGGGCCCTCCTCACAGGGTTCTGATTGAGCTGATCTAGGGTAGGGCCAGAGAATCTGCATTTCTCACACATCTCCAGCTGATACTCATGGTTGCAGAAATCATACTTTGAAAAGCAATGGCCTAGAAGATGACAATATTAATTTTATGTCATCTGAAAGGACCTGGGCTTAAAATGAGGTAAATAATGTCACTGGTTTACACAGGGTTTAATAATTACAAAGTTTTTAAGTTGGTGAAAAGTAATTTTCCTTCCTCTTTTACTTTTTTCTTTTGCTCAGCAGAAAAAGGGAACTAAATCCAAGAGCTGGTCATACACTGTCTGGTAAAAAATTTTATTTGGTCACACAAGGGGAAGTTGGAAAAACGCAACAAAATTCTAAGCATTTCCAGAAAAATATTAATAAAAATAATAATTTGCTTCATTAATATTAAAAAATAGAATACCCAAAATCAAAGCCCAGACAGAAATTCTCAATATTCTCAATATTATTAAGATGTCAATTTTTGCCAAATTGATCTATTGATAAAATGCAACCACATTTGCAGTCCCGGCAAGATTTTTTTTGTTAAAATTGCCAAGCTGATTTTAAAATTTATATAAAAATGCACCAGACCTATAAAAGGCAAAATCATTTTGAAAATGAAAAAAGAATGAAGTTGGAGGCCTCATACTGACTGATTTCAATACCACATAAAGCTACAATAATCAAGACAGAGTGTTCTTGGTACGGGGATAGACATAGATCAACTAAAGAGAGCAGAAGATGCAGAAATAGGCGAATACAACACACACATACAGGAACTATACATGTGGTCAATAAGGCAAAATTAATTTTTTGATCAAATGGTGCTGGAACAATTAGATAGCATATGTGTAAAAAATGATTCCTGAACAGGCCAGTGTGGCTCAGTTATTTAGAACGTTGTCCCATACACCAAAAGGTCATGGGTTTGATTCCAAGACAGGACACATACCCAGGTTGTGGGTTTGATCCCTAGTCTCAAGTACAGGAGGCAACCAATTGATGTTTCTCTCTCACATTGTTTCTTTCTGTCCCTCTCTTCCTCTTCCTTTCTCTAAAATCAACTTTAAAAAACCCACATATCTTTGGGTGATGATTTAAAAAGGGGGGGGGGGCAAAATTATAGTGACAGAAAGCAGATCAGAGGTTGCCCAGGGATGGTGGAGAAAGGGGAAGATTTATGTGAAGGGGCACAGAAAACTTTGGGGTGATGGAAATGTTCTAGCACAGTGGTTCTCAACCTTCCTAATGCCGCGACCCTTTAATACAGTTCCTCATGTTGTGGTAATCCCCAACCATAAAATTATTTTCGTTGCTACTTCATAACTATAATTTTGCTACTGTTATGAATCATAATGTAAATATCTGATATGCAGGACTTATTTTCATTGTTACAAATTGAACATAATTAAAGCATAGTGATTAATCACAAAAACAATATGTAATTATATATGTGTTTTCCGATGGTCTTAGGTGACCCCTGTGAAAGGGTCGTTCGACCCCCAAAGGGGTCGCGACCCACAGGTTGAGAACCGCTGTTCTAGCAGCTCATGATCATGGTGGTAGTGACACAACTGTAAATGTATTGGTCAAAACTCATCAATCTACACACTTAAAATTGGTGAATTTTACTATGCAGTATAAATTATGCCTCAATAAAGTTGATTAAAAATTTGAAGGCACTCAGTAGGGATTTACTATATATACAACAATTACTAAATTTCTTCAAGCCATTCATCAGAAAATGGAACGTCCAATGTAGTATATCAATATCATGCATCAGGAGTTATTAAACTCCGAGTTCTTAATCTCTTAAAAAGAAATCCAGAGATTGTCACCAGGGCTTCCAAGTTTGTTTTAACCTAGGTTTTGCAAAATCTCCAAATGTATAATCATCTTAAATTTATGAAATAACAGAAACACACCAAGTTCTCCTAGTAATAAAAAGGGTCCAATGCTTGCTATAATAATACAACGTTAACTTTCGTCTTGGCTGCTGATACGCCATCCAGACCGAGGAAGACCTGGAAACTTCGGGGCCACATGAGCCACGGCCACAGCCGCATCAGCAGGCACTGGAAGCCCCTGGAGGGAATGCTGGTGGCATGCGTCATCCCAGGATCAACTTGGACAAATATCACCCAGGTTACTTTGGTGGCATTACCACTTAAAGAGGAACCAGAGTTTCTGCCCAACTGTCAATCTTGACAAACTGTGGGCCTTGGTCAGTGAGCAGACACAGGTAAATGCTGCCAAGACAAGGCTGGAGCTGCTCCTATCATTGATGTAGTGTGATCGGGCTACAACACAGCTCTGGGGAAGAGAAAGCTCCCAAGGCAGTCTGTCATTGTGCAGGCCAAATTCTTCAGCAGAAGGGCTGAGGAGAAGACTACGGGTGTATGTGTGTGTGTGGGGGGGGGGGGGGGGCGGGGGGGAAGAATGGGAGGGTCTGTGTGTCCAGGTAGCTTGAAGCCACATGGACAAAAGTTCATGAAATACTCGTAAGTGCTTCCCTTTCCCACCCGCAAAAGGGTACTATGTTGACTAATAAATTATCTGGAAACACAAAAATGTTTGTACTTCTTCCAACTATGAAGAATTACTGATCATCTACACTTTAAAGAGATAGCATCAGCAATGACATTCTTAGACTATGACATCCCCTCTTAAAACTTCCATTTTTGGACTCACTTCAAAAAACATAAGTATTCTTAATAAAAGACATGAGTTGGGGCAACTGCTGGGAATGTCTGCAAAAACTGCCACCCTTTCATCTTAGGAGGCCTGCTCCCTGCCAGGGATCTGAGGTATCTTTACCATGTATGTTCAGCAATTTGAATTCCTTCAACCTGTGAGAACTCAGCCTCCAGGCAATGAACCTAGGGTGTGGTGAAGTCACTCCAGTTTAATACCCGCCCCCCCTTTTGTTTTAACCTGCACAGGCACAGTCCTGGCTGGAACCTGCTTCAGCCTTTCAAACACTCTTTTAATTCTTTTAATTAAAACTGCAATATAGAATCCAACCTCCTATTTTTCAGAGCACTTCGGAGAAACTGGAATGTCACTGAGGCTGCACGAAGACAGGAACATTCTGGACATTATTCAAAAACTTTAATTTCTCATGCAATTGAAAACCCACAAGTGACTAGGCTGCCAGTTGGAAGAGAAAGAAGAAACTGTTATTGTTCTTAAATGCTAATTAGTGGCAATGTTATCATATTATTAGAACCTAGCTCAGGGAGGCCTAATAAAAATATCATCTGAAAATATTGTTTTTAACCAACGTTAGATTTGCTTACAGTGAGGTCTTTGCACTCTTTGGGTGCTAGGAGAGCCTGACTTTTTTTTCTGTAAAGCTTCATCAGAACCTTCCATGGCATCTTCAAGGCCTTGTTCAGAATCATTTGATTTTGATTTTCCTGCTTCATTTATATTGGACTTTTCAAGATTTTCAGACATTCTCAATTAAGTTTATTCACTTTCCTAAAAAGAAAAAAGATAATGAACCTGGGAAGACAAAAAAAGGAGCAAAATGTTTTAGCTCTGTCAGTAACTAGCAGTGTGACTCCTCACAAATCATTTAATCTCGTTGGGTTTCAGCTTTCTCATCTGTAAAAGAAATAGGCTTGCTAGGATCTTACCAGTTATAATATTCTACTCCAATGATTAAACATACACTTTTGTTATTTATCAAATTAATGGACCTGTATCTCAGATGGAGAGTAACAGGTTTGAGTATTTTTGTCCCTTTCCTGAGTACCATGTAACATTAGCACACAGGGCTATAAACTGCCTGCTTCCATTTTAATTCAAAGAGTGATTCGACTCTTAAAACTCTTTACTTTCACCCCTGAGTGCTGGTAGGAAAACTTTGGAAATAATGTGTTAATGTTTAATCAGGCTTCCAAGTGAACACACTGGCTGAGGAGTTGGTTCCCGGATCCCATTATGTGAATGAGATACGTTGGATGACAGATAGAAGATAGAATCTTATGAAGCATTTAAGAAGAATGTGTGGGGCAAATACTCTTATTAACTCCTTACCAGTCAGCAGAAAAGGATGATGAGTAAAGCAGGAAGTTGCCAATAACCATGATATATGTGGCTGGGTGCAGTTTTAATTTTTTTAGTTGCCGATTAGAATAGAAATAACATGTGAGTTTGGGCCAGTTAATAAAGGCCTGGAATAGTACCCTCTTATTTACTGTATAAGTTTTTGTCAAGTTGGTTTCCACCCCTGTTTTAGAGTTCTCTATTCCTAAGGTATTTCCAATTGAGGGAAGAGAAAGATGTAACGTTCCATTCCTGCACTTACACTACTGAAAATAATCAGTCTTGGTATTATTAGCATTTGAAGATCACAAAACATTTTCATAAACACTAATTAAACTTCATTACACACCTGGCAGGTAATCCAGAGATCAGAAGAAAGAGTCAATGGCAGACTCTCTTCTGCACATCAGAGAAGAATCACTTGATATAATTACCTGAAATTTTAGATACCACCATTAAATAGAATGAAGTTACTGGAATTTACATTTTCAGGCCTGTATTATTCATACGAAGACTCTTTTCCTTCCTTCCTTCCTTCCTTCCTTCCTTCCTTCCTTCCTTCCTTCCTTCCTTCCTTCCTTCCTTCCTTCCTTCCTCTTTCCTTTTCTTGAATGGCAGGTTGCCACATGCAGCACCTCATTTGAATGTGTCTGGAGTCTTGGAAGCTTGACTACCCTATGCTCTACAAATGGACCCTGAGAGCTGGTCTGGAGATTCTAGCAGGAGAGTGCAGCTACTGGTTATACCCTTGACCCAAGAACAGTTAGTCCTCGCCTCCAGCAGGGAAGGCCCTCTTCGACCAAGAACACAGCTTTGGGAGAAAGGCAGATGGAGTGGTGAGGGGGGAAGGGGACACCTGCCTAACCAGCCAGATCAGCCAAATCAACCCTGGCGATCAGTGGGGTGACAGACTTTGCAGCCAGATCACCCTCACGTCCTGAAGAGTCCACGTGGCTTTAAAACAGTTCCCCTTTACCTTCCAGCATCTCACTCCAGACACCCATCTCCTCTCTGTTCTAAATCCTATTTGGCTCTGGAAATGCTCCAAGAGCCAACAGATAACATTACCAGCAAATCCTAAGAGAAAGGACAAACAAAAACACTTCTAATTTTATCCCTTTCACATGCTGGGAATGAGCTCAAGAAGGATGAAGTAATTCATTCTATGCTCTGCGGAGGAAAGGCAGGAAACTTACCTACATAAACTAACCCGTCCTGGTAAAATTAGGCTCGGGTCCACGCTCCTCCCAGGACCTTCCCCAACCTCACCAGTATTTGCACCTTTCTCTGAACTCCTGCAGGACTGGTTACTAGACATCTGGCACTCACCGTTGCCTTAAATCCAATTCAAAATACGCTTCTTTAAGTAGTAATAGGAAGATGAAAAGGCATGGTCTAGGGAGAGTCATTCTGACAAGGAAACACGGTGAAACTTAAGCCTTCATGGCATTATGAAATCACTAAGGAAATAGAGCAGCGGGAGAAACTAATTCTGCCTGCAAGGAGGTTGGTATTCCCAGAAAAGGGGACATTTGAGCTGGTCTTTTAGAAAAGAGTAGGATTTCATTCAATTAAAAAAAAAAATGTCTGGAGGGGGAGAGGAAGAGCACAAGTGGAGGCATATAAATAAGTAGCTTAAGAGCAGGTGAGGAAGGTAAAAAGACGGGTCGGGGCCAGATTGTAAAATTGCTAGTTTTCTTTAAAAACAAACAAACAAAAAACAACTTTTCACCTAGATTTTTAACTTCTTAAGGGCCAAGACCAACCATAGCCCCCACGTATGCTCCATGCATATATGCCCCAAACAGACACCCACTAAGGATCTGTTGACAGCTGTGTCATCTCAGTGACGTCGGTGTCTGCGGGAGGGATGGGCGTTGGTCTCGGACATGCACGGGTCCCCATTCTGGCCCTTTACCAGCCCCGCTTCCCCACCTGGACAACGCCGCTAGCCTACGCCGCTCCGGTCTGGGGGACGTTTAAAGGCAGACCGTGCATGACAACAGCTGGCTCCCGACCGGCTTCCCGTGAATGGCAGGGGCGGTTCCGGGCTGGAGGATGCATTCACGCACTCGGTGCGCTCACTCACTCAACACTCCCCAGTGCCCGCCAAGCCTGGAAAGGGCGCCGAGGGGCGGGGTCCCCGATCGGGCCGTGAAGACCGCCTCTCGGAGCTTCAGCCCGGGCCGAGCTGGACACCAGAGACGCCCCCGCAGAGAGGGTCTTTCGGCAAAACGCAGGGGCTCGGGGCACCGACGCCGGGAGCCACGTCCTCCCGCACGCGGCGCCACTCCTCCCAGACGGCTTTGTAAACAACTGTTTGGGCCGGCGAGGGAGTGGCCCAGGCGGGGAGCAGCGATGGAAGCGGGGCGCGCCCGGAGAACCGCCGCGAGGGGTGGGACGCAGGCCGCGCTAAACCCGCCCGCGGTCCCCGCCGCTTCCTCGCCTCCACCCGCCATCACCGGGACCCGGCCCGACGCGGGGAGGCGAAGAAGTGCCTGTCATTTCGAACTCGTGCTGACAGCCTCCGCGCCCGCTCCCCTCACCTGCGGCGGAGTCGGCGTTTTCCTAGCTGCGTCCGGGGCGGGGAATCTGGCTGGACCGGCGCCCCGGCGGAGGCGGGGAGAGATGCGCGGCGGGCGGGGCGTTCAGCCTCTGCCCCTCAAAGGCCACATCCCTCGCCGCGCAGCGGGCCGTCCCTCCCGCAGGGTAGCGGCCAGTGCAGTCGCTCCTCTGAGTCGGGAAGCGGGAGGCAGCTCTTCACCTGGAGGCTTAAGCCCAAGGTGGGAGGCGCCATTTTCTGTACGGAAAGGCAGGGGGCGTGGCTGAGCCCAGGGCGGCGCCATGTTTGTGTACGGAGAGGGGGCGTGGCTCAGAGCGGGCGGCACCACGTACGGAGAGGCGGGGGCGTGGCTCAGAGCGGGCGGCGCCACGTACGGAGAGGCGGGGGCGTGGCTCAGAGCGGGGCGGCACCACGTCCGGAGAGGCGGGGGCGTGGCTCAGAGCGGGGCGGCGCCACGTACGGAGAGACCCGGGCTGAGGCCGGGTGTTCGCCTCAGAAGCGAGCGGCAGGAGAGGTGCGCGAGGTAGAGGAGGTGCGGCTTCAGGCAAGTGAAGGAAAAGGGCTGGTCGCCCAGCCTCGACGCCGTTCCCAGCTTCCCGGCCCAAGCTTCCAAATGTAAATATGACTTCAGATGTTGTAGTTGCACGTGGTTTATTCCCTTCCCCTCATCTTGGCTGTTAAAGTCATGCCCATCCCCTGGGCAGCTAGGCCTCACGTTCATGGCACAGACGAGGTTTGGCTCTGGGGTCACCTCTCAGATTTTAAGCGGCTGCTACACTTGGTCGATAGGAAGAGTGAGACTTTAGCCCTGAAAAGACGGAAAGCTTGGGGCAGACGGTTCCCTCGAGCGCTCAGCCCGCTTTCGGGCCGTGGCACAGGGAACGTCCAAGGCAGCCCCCGAGCAGGCGTCCCTCTGAGCTCGGACGAGGCCGTTTTGCAGCCTCCCCTTCCTCCGTCCCAGGTGGTGGGGCCTGACTGCCTCGAGGCTGCTCCCTGAAGCCGTTCTCCCCTCAGCCGGTAGCTGTAAAACAGCGCACGCGAAGAGAATCGTTTTTTGTGCCTCATGTTAAAAAGTTAAAAAAAAAAAAAAGTGCGTGACTCCTCACTGTGTTCATTTGTGGGAAAAAAATGCTCTTAAGACTGAGCACTAGCCGAAACCGGTTTGGCTCAGTGGCTAGAGCGTCGGCCTGCGGACTGGGGGGTCCCAGGTTCGATTCCGGTCAGGGGCATGTGTCTGGGTTGCGGGCACATCCCCGGTGGGGGATGTGCAGGAGGCGGCTGATCGATGTTTCTCTCTCATCGATGTTGCTGACTCTCTATCTCTCTCCCTTCCTCTCTCTAAAAAATCAATAAAATATATAAAAAAAAAGAAAAAGAAAAAAAAAGACTGAGCACTAAATCATGCTTTAAACAAAGTGAAGGTAATAGTTGTCTTCTACCTGTAGCTTACGAACTTGTTTTATTAAAAGAACCAGAATAAAGCAAGAGGGAGTGGAATTGGTGCTTGCAAGCACCGCTTCCGAAAGGGTGGCTACCCCGACAGTAGAGACCGCACGAACACCGCCCTCAAGCTCTTCCCTCGCCAGCACGTGCACGTCCTCAGACCAGGGTTCACTTCCGGAGGGGGGAAAAAAAAATTATCCAACTGGAACTAAGATTCACGAAGAAAACATGCAGTTTTCACTTCTGAGTCCAGGCGGCTGTGCCCTCGAGTCTCTAGATTGGGGCATCTCAACCCTGACTACCCCTCGGCGTCTTCTGGGGACAGTCTAAAGCTGTCACCCGAAACTTGGGGGGCGAAGTGGGGGAAAGGGGGTGATGCCAGGCAAGAATTGTTAAGCTTCCCAGGTGACCCTAAGATGCAGCCAGGCTGGAATCGCCTCCCTAGCAAGTCCCACGCCCTCCCCCCGGCCCCGGTGACCGTGCTCGGCCTTCCTTGGATTAATATAAACGATGTTCACACGTGGAGAGGACCGTGTGACAACACCAAAACCTCTGTTTGACTTAGTTCACCTTGTAACCTTTTGATATATTTTGAATTGCTTCCTTCAGATATTAAAAACATACTGACTCGTGTTTCAGTTTTGGCTACAAGGACTGGAAACAAATTACCTCAAGGTAAAGGGAGCTCCTGCAAGGCTGGCTGCACTCGGGTTTGGGAGGAGAAAGCTGGCAGCTCTAGAGATCGCTCCTGCTCTGTCATCCCAAATCATCCCACCCCGCTTCCTGCTGCAGGCTATCGCACTCCCCTCTCTGCTACAAGCTGCTCTCTCTTTTCTTTGTTGTTTCCTCGGAGTTTAGTGTTTTGTTTTTTTAATCTTCACCCGAGGATATTTTTGCATTGATCTTTTAGAGAGTGGAAGAGGGAAAGACAGAAACATCTATTGGTTGCCTCTTGCATGCACATGTGTCTCCCCCCAACCCCCCCCCCCCCACACACACACACACCAGGGCCCAGGCTGGGGAGGAGCCTGTAACAGCAGTGTGTACCCTTGACATTGAACCTGGGACCCCACCAGTGCACGAATCTGTGCACCAGGCCTCTAGTTTATAGATAAAATGATATGTCTGAAATTTGCTGGGGTGGGACCAAGGAGTGGGTGGGAGTATAGGTGAAACAAGATTGAGCATGAGCCCTAGCCGGTTTGGCTCAGTGGATAGAGCGTCCGCCTGCGGACTGAAGGGTTGCAGGTTTGATTCCGGTCAAGGGCATGTACCTTAGTTGCAGGCACATCCCCACTAGGGGGTGTGCAGGAGGCAGTTGATCGATGTTTCTCTCTCGATGTTCTCTCTATCCCTCTCCCTTCCTCTCTGTAAAAAAATCAATAAAATATATTAAAAAAAAAAAAAAGATTGACCATGAGCTAAGAGTTGTTGAAACTGGACTGGATAAGTATGTGGGAGTTCAGTATTCTGTTCTCCCCATTTTTTAAAATATATTTTATTGATTTTTTACAGAGAGGAAGGGAGAGGGATAGAGAGTTAGAAACATCGATGAGAGAGAAACATCGATTCAGCTGCCTCCTGCACACCCCCTACTGGGGATGTGCCCACAACCAAGATACATGCCCTTGACCGGAATCGAACCTGGGACCTTTCAGTCCGCAGGCCGACGCTTTATCCACTGAGCCAAACCGGTTAGGGCCTCCCCATTTTTTATATATGTTTGAAATTTTCCACAATAAGTTATAAAAGATGTTGAAGTTTTCAAAAGCATTAGGAAAGTTCAATTTCTAATTTGTCTACAGTCTTTGTTAATTAGTAAATTTACTTCATCAAATTTTGTATCTTTAAGGAATACCTCTTAAGGTACAAACCACATTCCTATTAACTTGTAATTATGGACATTCTTAATGTTTAATACTTTCTTATGTAAACACTATAAGGTCATTTAAATTCTTATGTTTTAGAAAGTTTTATACACAAGAATTATAAATCAACTCACGTAAGAGATGTCAATACTTAACAGCAATACACCATCTAATAACTCAGTTTCAGACACAAAAGGTTATACAAAAAGGTTTTATTAAGTACAGTTTCATATTTAGAAGAACATTCAAAATTACAAATGTGATTGGGTCTTTAAGATACATAATTCTTAAAAAACACAAGTGATATACAGACATTAGAAATTTAGTCTCCAAAATATTCAATAAAGATGTCTGGGTGACACTTATAGAACTGACCTAGCATTTTTTTCTTCTCTTTGGCAGACAGTTTTGGATCCTTATCAATAGTTTTTAATAAACTCAATAGCTCATCCTTGGTTGTCTTCTGTGTATGGTCCGAATAATCACTTTGATCAATTCTCTCACAAAAAGTATATCCTTAAATATTAAGAGTAAAAAGTTCAGTTAATGAATCTATTCTTTAGGTTTAACTATAAAAATCAATATTTTTATATTTAGTCCCCATGTTATAAAATGCACGGAAGATGTTAAGCACTGCCAACTTTCTAACGCTGGTCAATCTGCATCTGAGTTTAAGGAAGCTCTGCTAAGTCTGAGGAGGTTGTTTAAAGTTTAGTTGAAATTAGGTACAATTACTTACAGTAAAACACTTTCTAGTAAATAGTAGGAATTTATCTTTGGACGATCATTAAAATAATATTTCTCAGATTACCTGTGCCTGTATTTGGATCTCTTCCCTTCTGAATGGCCATG